ACAGATAATAAAATCTATAGATCAAGACTTCCTGATAAACAAGACAAGCTAACTACCCTATGAATCTTTCTACAGTAAATTTGCTAAAGAATAGTCCTTATGGTATGCATTTTCATGTCAAAATGCCCATAGATGGAATCAGAATCAGAAAAATTAATTGCCATTTTACAATAAAAACATTTTACAATAAAAACTATAAACTGAAACAGCATCAAATACCTTACACAAAAACTTAATCCACATAAAACAAACACATACCAAAATAGAATACATGTTCATGGGTGGTCCATGTGCCTACAAAGCTCTACAAAGATGGTGACCTTAACAGTAGTATGAGTTTAAGTGAACGTTTTAGGTAGAGTGTTGAAGGGTTGAAACCTCTTTTGGGTTTTATTGCTGCCTTTGCTTCACATCACTACTCAACATTTTGAACAACAGTACTCAAAGTCCCGGCTTGGAGGTGACACTGAGGCTGTGTGGAGGTGTCTATTGTTGTTTTATGCTTTGATGGTCCTTTATCAAAAATTCGGTGTATTCCCCACACAGCCATTATATCAGCATTAATAATCATCATCATTGGCCTACTCTGTGCCTTTATTTTAAAGATGCAATATCTTCAATGAGTTTTAATAAGTAACATTTAAAGGAAATCATTACTGAAGAAAACACGAAGGCTTCCTTTGCTAATTTCTGCTTCTGAAAATGCTAGTTGCCTGTCATACTGGTATAACTGCTTCAATATTTTCCAAGTCATTGACCCAGAGTAAGTATGCAAAGCAAGAGCTCTGCCTTCACTTGCAATTCACTGCTGGGTACTTGTTATAGGTAAGTGACCCAAAGTGTTGAAGCCGACAGACAGAAAATTGGAAATGTATGTAGGACGTGTGCAATGGCAGCCTCCAAATTATAATGCAGTGGATTTCCTATTCTTGCAGGTTTATGTAAAAACCAAATGACAAATGATCGGAGTACAAAGTGCAGTCAAATCTACACAGAGAGCTATTTTTTTAATAAGCAATCTAGCGTTGTCAATGTTTGTTCTGCTGTCTGGGCATTGTTTCAGAAAAGAACATTTTAGACTCAACAAAGATACAAAATGATAAGCCTTGGGTTATAAACAAATGCTGAACTAGGAAATACTGTAAATATAGTCCATTATTAATTATTTATGTGATTTAAAATTCTGCACAGCTAAAATAGTAAAATGGCATTTACAGATGCTTTTTTCTTGATATTGACTTCCTGTCTTTTAAAAAGCATTTTATAGTATTTTTGTCCCTTAACTTTTTGATGGAAAAGGTAAACTCTAGGAGGCTTATAATGGAAACCACAGTTCACTGTCCCAAACCTGTTAACCAATAAGCTGCATTCTTCTTGACCTGACCCCAGTAAATTAAGAACTACATTTTAATTGAATTATTCAATGCTTTCCTAAATAATCTTGCATGTAATGCGCTCAGAAATAGTGTGACACCATCAGTTGTCACTAGCGTACATGTCAGCAGCACCTGTAATAGGTTTTGTTATGATTCATACAGTCTTTTCTGCATCAGGTGCCAGTTTAGGTCATGGCACTAACCATAGGTATTCGTATACTGATACTGATCAGTGCTGATCAATGATCTCTAGTATCAGTCATTCACTTTCCTCTGCATGAGTTACTCTACCTGGACATAGTCTTTTGATTTAATCTCTCCACTATAGTATTATAGTGCAAGGCAAAAATATCCATGGCCGATAGTGAGATTTTCCTATTGTTTCTAATGTTAGAGCTGAGACCAAACTTCTGCTTCTGGCTGGGCTAGAGGAATGGGAGTGTCTGTTAATTTCTTTCCCATTATAATATCCAAGGAGGGGGAATTTTTACATGTCAGGCAGGCTGGTGAAATAGCAGAAGGGTGATAATCCTATTAAGAGAGCAAATGGGGCTCTAAGGGAAGAGGAACCTTACTTCCAATCCGTATACTCCCATATCATGAACAAGCAATGAGCTGCTTTCCACAATCATGGTTCTTATAAACTTCACCAACACTATTGTATACATCTAGAGCAGGGGTCTCTAAACCTTCTAAACAAACGGCCAGTTTACTGTCCTTCAGACATAAGGGACGGGGGGCTGTGGCCATTGAGAGTAGAAAATGCCCCAGAGCCAATCTAAATAATGCTTCAGGCTTGGTGGTCAGTAGGATGTGGAGTCATGCTCCATCATTGGTGCCAGTGGGAGGAATAGTGCCTCATCATTGGTGTGAATGGGAGAAATGGTGTCCTATTGATGGTGTCAATGGGAGGGATGGTACCCCATCATTGGTGTCAGTGGACGGAATCGTGCCCCACTGTTGGTGTCAGTGGAAAGAATGCTGCCTCATCGTTGGTGTTAGTGGGTTGAATAGTGCTTCATTATCAATAAGAGGAATAGTGCCACAAGGGTCAGATAAAAGCAAGCAAAAGGCCACATTCAGCCCATGGGCTGCAGTTTGGAGATCATTGATCTAGAGCAGTGTTTCTCAACCTTTTTTCGGTCAAGGCCCCCTTTTTAAATTATGGACAGTCCCGAGACACACTTTAAAATTATATACAGTCTTGAGGCACCTCATTCTAAAATGGGGTGTCTGTAGACTGTCCATAATTTTAAAAGGGCACCCCATTCTAAAATGTGAAAAACTATTCTAATATTTTTATATAAGACAGCAACATCAACATATGTATGACACCCAACATTAGAGATGATTTATTCTTCCAAAGCAACTACACTTTTTCACACTGGTACTGACTAGTTTCTCTTCTCCCTCAGTTTTTCTCCATCACTGAGCTAATGTGACCACCAGCACTCATGGAGAGGGGCGGGGGAGGGTGAAACTAGGATGCTGTGCAGGCAACTGACATCCACCTTATCATCTGATGATGTCATTGGTTGTCAGGACTCAAGCAGCTAGAAGGTCGTAATGGTGCACAATGGAAACCTGTGGCTTTGTGTAACTAGAGGCAGGCTTGATCCACCCTCGGGCTCGTATACAGGTTTTGGGCAATTTTTAGACATTTTGCCAAAGCACCCCTGAAGAAACCTAAAGGCACCCCAGTGTGCCTGGGTACCCTGGTTGAGAAAGGCTGATATAGAGGATTCGGACCTAAGCCACCACAAACTGGTCAAATTCACTTCAAATATAGTAAATACGTTAAATGTATTTAAGTCGTAGCAAAGTGTGTTACTAGTTCGCCAAATATGTATCCCAGCTTAAAGTTCCTATCATTTGAAGCTAATGTTTAAATTGTAGTACAATAATACTCTACATCAGATTTTAGTTTACTACAAGTCTAACTAGTTTTTATTTCTCCAAAATTCCATCAAAGAGTGAAAGATTATGTAGGAATTTCATTATTTGTACACAACACATTAAAATCCATGGGGAAAGCTAAATAAATGTGGTTTTTAGTGATGCAATGAGTGCTTCTTGAGTGTTAGGCAAGTTCCTCTCAACTAACTTGGACCTGCTGAAATGCCCAAAAAAGGCCCCTTGTTTTTTTTTTTTTCAATGAAAGAAAAGAACAGACAGTGATTTAAAAACATAAAAATAAACAGAACTGTGCCAAGAGCACACACTGTGCATGCTCCTGGCACAGTTACCTGCAGCTAACAGAGAGCTACTTGCGATCAGGAGCTTTCCAATAATGTGACCGCTGTGACAGCCAATCACGGTGGTCACATGATCAGGAACCCTTTCCTGATTTCTGAAACCATTTAAAGAGTCAGGAGGTGGTGGCAGCAAGAGATTAAACACGTTAAAAAAAAAAAGCTTAAAAGAAAGACCACTCAATAAACGTAAACAACTTAAAAAAATATACCCCACACTTACTAAAATATATTAAAAAAAGTTTCTTCCCTAGAAAAATTTGCTTAAGTAGCTCAATGAGTGAAATTGACTGTTTGCATTTTTGTGAAATTCTTTCTGCTGCAAAAGCTCTTATTTCCCTAATAAAATCATTTTTTGACAAAACCACTCTGCTCATTTCTAGTGCTAACACTGAAAAGCAACTGGTCATTAGTTATGTTTAGATATAGTGCATGTTCTTCCTTTCCCTATTAACCACTTGCCCTCCAGAGGATTTACCCCCTTTCCTGACCAGGCCATTTTTTGCGATATAGCGCTGCATTACTTTAACTGACAATTGCGCAGTCATGCAACTCTGCACCCAACTGAAATTTACGTCCATTTTCTCCCACAAATAGAATTTTTCTTTGGTGGTTTTTTTTTTTTGCGCTAAAAACAAAAAAATGGCAATTTTGAGGAAAAAAAACTATATTTTTGACTTTTTGCTATTAAACATGTCCAGTAAAAAAAATTAGAAAAATCAAATTTCGTCATAAATTTAGGGCAAAATGTATTCTGCTACATGTCTTTGCTAAAACAGAATCCCAATACGTCTAAATTAATTGGTTTACATGAAAGTTATAGCATTTACAAATGGTGGTATATACTGTATACTGGAATTTATAATTTTTTTTAACTAGTAATGGCAGTGATCAGCGACTTATAGCGGGATTGTGAGACTGAGGCAGGCATTCTGACACTGGGGGGAACTGACTTGGTGTCACTGTCATCCACAGCACTGACACTGTACCAATGGCACTGGGCAGGAAGGGGTTAACATGTTGGGCTAACTGTGTGCTGTTTTACTATGAGGCTGTGTGCTGTGTTTCACTGTGTTTCTGCTATGGGGTGGCGTGGAAGCGGTTAAACTTGCTCACATGATTGTACAGCTAATAGCTGCTTTGATTTTGATATGCTTTTATTGTCAGATATGGCAATTTAAACTACAATTGTTGAACTATACTTGGGTCTTGGGTTCTTTATGTGTACAGTTGTTATCCAATGAACTAAGATTTTTAGGGTTCAGAAATCTAATCTTTTTTCCAGGCCCAACAACAGCATTCAACACCACCACCACTGCTACGACAACAACCACCAATACCACTACGCCTACCCAAACAACACCAATTGATAATGAAAAACCTCCTCATTGGGGCTGGAAGAGCTGACTGCACTGGCTTCCTAGCAGATGTTCCTTTGGTATATATATATATATATATATATTTTTTTTTTACCTACATTGCATATGTAAAAGTACATTACAATAATATTCACAACAGTTAAAATGGTTATAAACCTCTGTAATGAAAAATGAACAGAGTATATTCCTTTACAGTAAGTACTAGCATCAATCTAAAGCAGGGGTCTCCAAACTTTCTAAACAAAGGGTCAAGTTTACTGTCCCTCAGACATTACAAGGGCCAGACTGCGGCCAGTGGGAGTAGAAAACGTCAGTGAAAAAAAAAATAATGCCCCTTTGTTTGGTGTCAGTGGGAGGAATTCTGCCCCATCATTGATGTCATTGGACCCTATCATTTGTGTACCTGGGAGGAATTCTGCCCCATCATTGATGTCATTGGACCCTATCATTTGTGTAACTGGGAGGAATTGTGCCCCATCATTGATGTCATTGGACCCTATATCATTTGTGTAACTGGGAGGAATTCTGCCCCATCATTGATGTCATTGGACCCTATCATTTGTGTAACTGGGAGGAATTGTGCCCCATCATTGATGTCATTGGACCCTATCATTTGTGTAACTAGGAGGAATTGTGCCCCATCATTGATGTCATTGGACCCTATCATTTGTGTAACTGGGAGGAATTGTGCCCCATCATTGATGTCATTGGACCCTATCATTTGTGTAACTGGGAGGAACTGTGCCCCATCATTGATGTCATTGGATCCTATTAATTGTGTCACTGGGAGGAATTGTGCCCCCTTCTTTGGTGTAAGTGGGGGGAATTATACCCATTTGTTGGTATGAGTAGATGAAATAGTGCCCTGAGGGCCAGATAAAAGCTCGCAAAGGGCTGCATCTGGCCCCCAGACCGCAGTTTGGAGACCACTGAGCACCAAGTGTGATTTCTGTTTCCTCTCTCTTGCCTCTACTATCTGCATTAGTCACTTCTGACAGGGTATTCCCACACCACAGTGTCCCGGGAGACTGCCCTACCCCCCCTTCAGCATACAGGTGATTGACAGCCTCAGTTTGCTTGTTTACCTATGAGATGGTGAAGATGGGGTTTGTCTATTCCCTTTACTACGGTTACGTATTTTGCTTCTCTCTTTGCTGTGCAGTCTATGACATCAGACCATTGCCCCCTGCCTGCTAAAGCTGAGAAAAAGCCTTTGATCTCTGTGTCTTTAGAAGGCTGTAGAGAACAGAAAGCTACAGATAAACAGGGACAACTTATGTTGGATGTGTTCATCTTTGTGTATCACCTAGGCTAGTCACTTTAGTGTGCATATGTAAGGGTATACAACACTTTAAAATATAGCTAAAGACAAAATGTTTTTTCTTTAGTTTTGGATAGAGTGGAGAGGTAATAGAACACCTGCCAAGTTTTTATTGCTGTCTCTGCTCCCACTGTTGAGATTTACCCTCTCTCTGTGTACTGTTATCAGTGAGAGAGAAGGTAAAAGAAAATCTCAAACTCTGGGTCGACACCAGAACAGGAAAAGAGGGTATATCACTTAAGAGGGATTTCTTTTCACTTTTTGTTTTGGCTACGGGACAGGAAATGAAGGAAAATCTCCCCAATGGGACAAGGATGGCAAAACCAATTGATGGGAGTTATAATCCTCACTTATTCAATTGCCCCCCCCCCCCCCCCAAGAAAAACAACAAAAAAACAATGTTTGCCTTTAGTAACAATTTGAGCAGGATTGATTCGTTAAATTTAGTGCTGTTAGGCTGCAATCAGTCTAAGGTAAATTCATAGTTTGGTATTCATAGTCTGGTATTCACATGCTCTCCCCCTAACCCATGTTATTGTTTGCTTCTGCCTGTTGCTGAAGCCCGTGTCCCTGCCAATAATCCAAGAAGATTTAATAAATGGGGGCACTCTTTACATCTGGAGGAAAAGAAATGTAATCTCCAAACACGGAAAGGTTTCTTCACAGTGAGAGCTGTGAAAATGTGGAATAGACTCCCTCAAGAGTTGGTTCTGGCCAGCTCAGTGGATTGCTTCAAAAAAGCCTGGATTCTTTCTTGGATACACAGAATATAACTGGATACTAACATTTATAGGTAAAGTTGATCCAGGGAATATCCGATTGCCTCTCCGCGGATCAGGAAGGAATTTTTTTACCCAGCAGGAGCAAATTGGATCATGATTTGCTGGGTTTTTTTGCCTTCCTCTGGATCAACTGTGGGTATAAGATTATAACTTTTTTTTTCTATGGTTGAACTGGATGGACTTTTGTCTTTTTTCAGCCAGACTAACTATGTAACTATGTTATAAAACTGGGTTATGAATATTCATGTCGTGGGCCGCCAGCCTGGAAAACCACTTATACAGATATATTAAAGCATCCCAAATGATATATATATATCACCTACTTTATATATAGTCTTCAAGTTACCAAATGGCTTTGTTTGATCTCTAGATGGGTTATGCTAGTGGTGATCAGACAGCAGGAGGACTTCACACTCGTCAGTACAGCCGAGCCTTCATTGTAGCCCAACCTGATAATTCAAAGAGGGTTGTGTTTGTCAGTGCAGACATAGGAATGATGTCTCAGAGAGTCCGACTGGAGGTAAGTTCACAAATAATATGTTTGTAGAGATTTTACTGTTTATTTGTTGTTTTTTGTGACAAGGAAGTGTCTGATGCTCATAACAGTTCATTTCCAATTGTCATTTTTTTGTTTAAAAGCATTTTTGCTGGAAAATTTCATAAATTATAACAAAGTATATAACAGAACATTATACCCACAGAGAACATAACATCGCAAGTTCAGCATTAACAGAAGTCTTCTCTTCAATGTGCATAATGCGACAGTTAAAGTGTTACTAAACCCACAACAGTAAAATCAGTCTGTATATGCAGTAAAGCATACATGATATACTCACTGTGGAAACAAAGAAGTTAATCTTCCGCATTGTGTAAAAAAGCTGTTTGATCCTGTCTTCTCTGATCCTTTCCTTTGTCTACTGTCCCTAATCCATCTGATGATAGCACAGAGCTTTAGGAGTCATTCTGCATATGCTCAGTTTTGTGTGTGTATAGAGAGTTTTTTTTTTTTCCTTTGGGAGGGTGTATGTGATCAGCACAGGGCCACACTGCACCGCCCAAACAAAGGGTAAGGGGTTATGAAGCCTCATAGGACAGTCAGAGCAGAATGAAAACACCTCCTACAGGATTAGCCAGTGCTAAGCTGGACACTGATAGAACTCACTGCTCATGAGAAAAGGTATTTAGCAGTTTAAATTTACTAAACTAATTGCATTTCCATGCTGTGTGTACTGTGGAAGCCCAGATATAGTAAATGGAGTGGAGGGTCATGGGTTTAGTAACACTTAATATTGTCACCAAAAAATACTGTTTAGGAAGTAGCAACTTTTTTTTTTCCAGGGAGGTCATACAGTCGTGAAGTGCATATCATGTCAATAGAGGTTTCACAAATGCCAGATGGGCAGTTACCATCAAATGAGATCAATGGGGATGGATAGTAAGGCTTCAATCACAAAGGGGTACCTATCTGTACACCCATATGAAGGGCTATCTTTGCCCACACAGGATGCACAGGTGTCCCATGCAACTGCATGCAGGCAGTCCCATTCATGTCATTTGGGATGCAGTAGCTGCACGGACACAGCCACTGGTCCCAAGTTAACAGGTCTGTGGGTGCATGTCCTCAAACGCACACTGTCTACATTCAGGGACATGCACCTGTACGCTTCTCAGGTTGGGATCAGCGGCTGCATTCGTACAGTCAATGTGTCCCAATAGACATGAATGGGTCTACCTGCATGAGAATGTACAGGGCACCTGTGCAACAAAAACAGTTCTTTGCATGGGTGTATGGATAGGTATGCTGGTGTGAATGAGACCAAAAAAAAATGGAACGTGTAGTAGCTTCTGGATTTGTGAATAACAAGGTAGAGAGGAAGACCAATAGGGGAGAGAATAGTATATAGGGGGTGGGAGAGAGCATGACAGCTCACCAGGATCAGTTTCTGGGATGTATCCCCAGTATACAGTGGGGCAAAAAAGTATTTTGTCAGCCACCAATTGTGCAAGTTCTCCCACTTAAAAGGATGAGAGAGGCCTGTAATTGGCATCATAGGTAGACCTCAACTATGAGAGACAAAATGAGAAACAAAATCCAGACAATCACATTGGCTGATTTGGAAAGAATTTATTTGCAAATTATGGTGGAAAATAAGTATTTGGTCACCTACAAATAAGCAAGATTTCTGGCTCTCACAGACCTGTACCTTCTTCTTTAAGAGGCTCCTCTGTGCTGCACTCATTACCTGTATCAATGGCACCTGTTTGAACTTGTTATCAGTATAAAAGACACCTGTCCACAACCTCAAACAGTCACACTCCAAACTCCACTATGGTGAAGACCAAAGCAGGACACCACAAACAAAATTGTAGACCTGCACCAGGCTGGGAAGACTGAATCTGCAATAGGCAAGCAGCGTGGTGTGAACAAATCAACTGTGGGAGCAATAAATAGAAAATGGAAGACATACAAGACCACTGATAATCTCCCTCGATCTGGGGCTCCACGCAAGAGCTCACCCTGTGGGGTCAAAATGATCACAAGAACGGTGAGCAAAAATCCCAGGACCACTCGGGGGGACCTAGTGAATGACCTGCAGAGAGCTGGGACCAACGTAACAAAGGCTACCATCAGTAACACACTACGCCGCCAGGGAATCAGATCCTGCAGTGCCAGACGTGTCCCCCTGCTTAAGCCAGTACATGTCCGGGCCCGTCTGAAGTTTGCTAGAGAGCATTTGGATGATCCAGAAGAGGATTGGGAGAATGTCATATGGTCAGATGAAACCAAAATAGAACTGTTTGGTAGAAACACAACTCGTCGTGTTTGGAGGAGAGAGAATGCTGAGTTGCATCCAAGAACACCATACCTACTGTGAAGCATGGGGGTGGCAACATCATGCTTTGGGGCTGTTTCTCCGCAAAGGGACCAGGACGACTGATCCATGTACAGGGCAGAATGAATGGGGCCATGTATCGTGAGATTGAGTGCAAACCTCCTTCCATCAGCAAGGGCATTGAAAATGAAATTTGGCTGGGTCTTCCAACATGACAATTATCCCAAACATACCGCCCGGGCAACGAAGGAGTGGCTTCGTAAGAAGCATTTCAAGGTCCTGGAGTGGCCTAGCCAGTCTCCAGATCTCAACCCCATAGAAAACCTTTGGAGGGAGTTGAAAGTCCGTGTTGCCCAGCGACAGCCCCAAAACATCACTGCTCTAGAGGAGATCTGCATGGAGGAATGGGCCAACATACCAGCAACAGTGTGTGCCAACCTTGTGAAGACTTACAGGAAACGTTTGACCTCTGTCATTGCCAACAAAGGATATATAACAAAGTATTGAGATGAACTTTTGATATTGACCAAATACTTATTTTCCACCATAATTTGAAAATAAATTCTTTCCAAATCAGCCAATGTGATTGTCTGGATTTGTTTTCTCATTTTGTCTCTCATAGTTGAGGTCTACCTATGATGCCAATTACAGGCCTCTCTCATCTTTTTAAGTGGGAGAACTTGCACAATTGGTGGCTGACTAAATACTTATTTGCCCCACTGTATATTCTACAAAGAGGTATCAAAGTGGACCCAGGGTTTCTACCAGGGGCGGACTGACCATTCGGGCACTCGGGCACTGAGGGTCTGGGGTCAGTAGGGGGCCCCATGAGATGCCCCTGGTACTTTTCATAGGCTTTTTTGGGTGTGGTTTGAGTGTGGGCGAGGACACAGGGGCCCCACGATCTCCTATTGCCTGGGGGGCGCCATAAGTTGTCAGTCCGCCCCTGGTTCCTATACCTATTCAAAAGCACTGAGGGTGTTATTCATTCTTGCTGCACAAGCTTCCATGAATGTGACTTCTTGAATGTCAGAGTATTAGTTGGGTGTTGTTGGACCATGTGTCTGCTTCCAATGAGAGGTGATCAAACATTCCATACCCGTTAGAAATGAAATCTAATGTAATTGGTTGCTTTGAGTAGCACCTGTGTATTCAATTTCCACTGCCTATGCCCACAATCACCATGCAGTTTGTACATATTTCTACAATCATATTTTTTTTTCAAAGGTTATTGACAAGTTGAAAACCAAATATGGAGATTTATACAGACAAGACAATGTAGTGTTAAGTGGCACTCACACCCATTCTGGACCAGCGGGCTTTTTCCAATACACAATCTTTATGTTGACAAGTGGAGGATTTCACAGACAGGTCACTGATGCCATTGTCAACGGTATTGTTAAGGTATGATCTGTTGAATGTGATTTTCTTTAAGTCCTCATGCACACTGGACGTTTTTACAGCTGCTGTTTTTGGCTTTTGGTGTTTTTCTCTACAGCCAGTAAACTCCCCAGCATGTTATCCTATCTGTCCATGCACACATAGGCTTTAATCAGTGTTTTTTGGCTGGAAAAAAAAAAACAGTTCACCTACCAGCATGTTTTTGGAGTGTGGGAGGAAACTGGAATACCCAGAGAAAACCCATGCAGGCAAAGGGAGAACTTGCAAACTCCAGGCAGGTGGTGCTGTGGGTGGGATTTGAACCCACGACCCTTGTATTGGCAGGTTGAAGTGCTAACCCTTTATCCACTGTGCTGCCCACTTAATTATGTCAAAGTGAACATCAATTTTATCTCCTTTACCTCTCTACTTCTCAGAGCCTTTACATTCACTCTTAAAGGAGCATGTTCCCAGTCACTTCACATGACAGAAATTCAGATTCCAATGGCAGAACACCTTTTACCCCAGAATAGATATAGCCCTTTGTAGTCTGTGATAACTAGAGGAATAGATTGAAGATGATTATAAGCTGAAGTCCAAAAGTAATTACCACACTTTATTACAAGTACTAACATTTATGGAGCTTTTTTTGATATGTATGAAAGTCCAAACCATTTGCATATCAGCAAACATTTGCTTGTTATAGGATATAAAATATTCAGAACAATGATTAAAAAAAGTGCTTACCCTTTCAGCTAATGTGCACAAATAATCCACTTTATAAAGCCGTAAAAACTCTTAAAGTCACTATATGCTATATTTAACTTGGCCCTAAAATCAGTCAATAATTCCTTTGCAAAGATAGTTCAAATGTAATGTCATATGCAAGGATGCCTGTAGGTTCTCTTGTTATGTTTCAGATTACTGTCCTCTGACAGCTTGGAATTAGCACCTGATAAATGGTACATTTGTCCAAAATGGATGTAACGTTGCACAGATGCAGATTCCCCTGTAACTTCAAGACTAGTTTTAAGGGGCTCTGTGATTCATTTTTGGCAGCATTATTTTTGTCATTTTTAAAAATTATATCTTCACCATTATCAGTGACTGAGTTTTATTCAACCCATGGAGATTTTGACTGTATTCAGATGAAGTATGCAAAATGTATTTTGCTGCCTTGTTTCCTGCGTTCTTTGTTTACAATAGATAGAGGATTTTGTAGGCTACACTGAAGCATAGGGGGCTATTGCTAGCGGAGACCTATAGATAGACCTTGCCACAGGAAAAAACTCATTGGAACCTCTACAACATACTAGACATGTGCGATTTGTTTCGTTCTAAATCAAAATGAGATGAAATGTTCGTTATTCAGAGAATTGAATGTATCCCAATGTCCGAATTACAAGAGTACCAAATGTAAAGGAATCCAAAATAATGAATTGAAATTTTGTCAGAAATTATTAGAATCAAATTCAAAACAAACTTGAAAAGGAAATCAAATTTGAAAACAAATTTGAACTGTAAACATATTGCTGATTTCCTTCAAAGAAATTGGAAAAGAATAGAATAGAATAAAACAGAATAGAATAGAACTATCGGGTTACAAAACGCATGAAATTTCCGTTTTTCTAAAGAAAATTTGTTCGGAATTTGACCCATGTATGGCCTGCATTAGTGCCCATGCCTCTAAACATGGCTGGCATTGAAGGCAACCTGTTACAGCATTTTCACCTGGAAAGGTAAGTTCTTCGAATTCTATTTGTCCATCTTCAGAAGACTGTTAACTTTAGCTTCACTTTAATTTATTTTAAAAAATAATGGTCTATTCTAACTTGAATGCTTTATTTCAATTCCTCACTCTTGCCTACTCTAGAGCATTGACATAGCACATACAAATCTAAGAAGAGGAAAGGTGTATGTGAACAGGGGCACTGTAGAGGATAGCCATATCAACAGAAGCCCCTCCTCCTATCTGCGCAACCCAGAATCAGAGAGAGCCAGGTGAGGCGGTAGCTGTGCTATAGATTTCATAATGGAAAATGTGGCCAGTTCATAAACTGATGTGGCATATTATGACTAAGGCCGGCCATACATGGGTTGAAATTCGATTGTTTTTTTCGTTCGAAAATCGGACCTAAGAATAATTGGCCAATTTTCGCTTTGTTAGTGTGTCAATGGTACTGGCCGATTTTCGTGGTTTCTCCCCTTTTCGGTGATCAGGCATGTTGGAAAATTTGTGAAAAACAACCTATTTTCAACTCAATGGTGGTCAAATCGTATGATCATTTTTCCAAAAAGAATTTGCGCATGAGCCGTGAGCTGGAAGGAAGAGAAGTTTTGCCTGCTATATGGGGTGAACTTTATGACTTGGTCTGCCGATTTTCGAAATCATTGATGGCACCATCGGATTACCACGCAAACAACGTTTTCGATTTTCAGACTAAAAATCGTTCGGCTATCGAACCATGTATGGCCTGCATAACTCTCTCATAATTCTTTTGATATCCCTGTCCTCTGTAATAGAATTGAATTGTTTTTTTCTCACTTAAATGTGTGTTTTGTGAACCAGCGTTTATATTTCTGTCCTTGTCCTGGCAATAATTGCTGTGACATTACCAAGTATATCATTGTGTGTGGATCAGGAGAGTTTGCCATGTTGGATAATTGTGTTTTAGTTATCAAACATTTACGAAGAGATAACAGAAATGATAGCTGGACATACCTTTTATGTGTATCCTTCTTCTACAATGACCTTGGCAATCTCCATCCATACTGAATATGGTATCACATTTGCATTTTAAATCAGCTCTGTACAGAATAAAACATGAGGGCTACCATTTCTGGCCTGAAAATACATTTTGCTTTCTGCCAATGGCTTCAATGCTTTCTGAGTTGCTGACCCAGGTAAACACCCAAGTGAAGTCTGTGACTCAGAAAGTATTGCTGTTTTAGGCAAGGCCAGTTATCAATTATAGGTTAGCAATGGCAGCCCATACAATATGTTCCCTTTTTCTACAGGTTCTTATTCTTGCGTAGTTACATAGTTGGCAAAGTTGAATAAAGACACCAGTCCATCCAGTTCAACATGTGCGTGTGTGTGTTTACATATATACCACTTTCCATATCCCTGTATATTGTGTTCAATAAGATGCCCAGCTAAGAGTTTTTTTTTAATTAGTGAGACTTTTCTCTCAAACCACCGATTGTGCATAGGAGTTCCACGTCCTCACCATCAAACAGTTAAAAATAACCCCTCATGCATTTTAAGGTTAAACTGCTTCTTGTTCAACTTCATTGAGTATCTTCTTGAGAGACCCGAGACTGTATAGTTTCCTCCCAATGCTGGAATCACCATTAAGATATTTGTATATTGCTATCATATATCCTCCTAAAGCAGAGTTCCACCTGAAAAAAAATAAAAGTCAATAGCTACAAAAACTGTAGCTGCTGACTTTTAAAATACAGACACTCACCTGTGCCAGGGTCCAGCAGTGTCCTCACCATGGCTGGCTTCACCGGATGTCTTCTCTTCCTGGCGCTGGCATCTTCAGTGTGGGCACCCGGCTGTGATAGCTTGTGGCTTCACAGCTGGGTGCCCACTGCACATGCGCGAGAAGCGCTGCACTTTGTGAATGGCCCTGTAGTGTTCTGGGACCTGTCACGTGTCCCAGAAGACTACAAGGAGGGAGGGGGGATGACAACTTCTGCTTCCAATCGTCTAGGTGATCGCAGCAGAAGTGGGAGTGGGTACCTGTCAAATTCGGGTACCCTCTCCCCCCTGGTCCCCAAAGGTGCCAATCCTTAATGGGGAGCGGGGCACAAAGCCTTAAAGCTGAACTTCCTCTTTTGGGTGGAATGGGGGAATCCTCTCCACTACACTAAATAAGGGGGGATATCCTCCTGCGCTTAATATGGGTAGGTCCCTATCTACTAGCTGCAATCACTCAAACTCAACCAATAAGTCAAAAATACCGTGCATAAAATAGTGAAGCGCTCTCAAATTAACTAAAAAAATTATTCAATAAGTGAAAAATTACATAAACACTTCACATATATACCCATATACTATTAACTCTTAATAGATCTGTGAAAAAGATACCAAGATATACAATTCATAATATATAGTGATAAAAACAATTAACATAATACTACTGATTCATAAAAATGTGACAAATCGTGATACTTGTGACACAACTGAATATCAAAAAAAGGTATATAGTGATGCTGCGATAGGTAAATACATATGTCTGTGGTAAACCCTATAACAAATTAGAAAAAATTGCTTCTTAGATCAAAAAAATATAAATAAATAAACTCAGTGTATCAAAAAAACTCAAATAATCCATGCAAAATTGTGAAACACTCTGTGATCTTCACTTCTAGTGCTCAAGAAAGGAATCCTCCAACGGCAGAAATGCCTGCTCACCTCCCCTCCTCGACCCACACAGGGCCAAAAGGCAAAAAGGCTCTCCTTAAAGGCAATCCTTTCCTCCAAGCAACTCGGGCAGGAACCTCAGGACTTCCACTCCACCTCCTCTTACCACGTCATATAGGGCACAAACAGAAACTTCCCATAGTATAACACCGTTTATTATAAGTAATATAGCATAACAAACTTTCCAACTCACATGGTATCTTTGGATACAGCGCTTTTTCACCTCACATCATGGGTGTACTCTCATACAGGGAGGGAAACCAATATGGCCGCTGCGTCCGGACAAAAACGTCCCCACGTGACCGGAAGTGACGTAATCTCGTGCTGGGAATGGCGTTCCGACGCGTTGCGTCACGTGCGTCGTGACTTCATCAGGGTACCGCCCCCCAGAGCCATGATTCATTTATATATGGGATAGTCAACCCACTATACCTAATTAGAGGGCGGACTCCCGGCGGCCATTTTACCGGAGTCCTCACTGCTATCCCCGTTACTAGAAGACATCCTATTACAGCACTCGATCCGTGCTATAGATAGGAGCCATCAACTTCCATTATATATATAGCATATTCTTATTACCACTCCCCTCAGAAAACATATATAAACAATGTAACTAATCTTTTAATATAATATTAAAAATATTAAAACCCACATAATACCCCCACTTTATTACCAGTCAATCTATATTAAAAAATCTATATTAAAAAAGGGGGCAGAAGAAAATTATTATTTATAGGTAAATGAGACCCAGCAATGATTTACATGAATATAAAAATAGATACTCCCATCTAATAAAATTGCTACCTTTACTATTAAAAATAATATACCGGTATATATATATATATACCAATATAATATAAACATATAAATCCATATAAACCATACAATTTAATTATTTCCAATAGAAACATTTATTCAAAACCCTAACTTGATTCCTCTACATCCTCGCAAAAAACTAAGAACTAAGAAAAACTATTTGTTTTTTTAAAAAATCCCATGAATAAAAACAAATGAATATATGGTTAATTAGGTCACACCTCGCTTCGCCCAATCCGACCGTTTACCTATGATTGAAAAAAACAATACCCAAACGAATTCCTAATAAGTCATGTGAATAAACCCATGATCCGAGTATACAGGATACATAGCATATATCAGTAATCAATATATTAAAAATATTAAAAAATTTTTTAAAAATTTTTTTTTAAAAAACTTTTTGTATAAATGCACAGTCTAAAAACCAAATTAAAAGTCACTAATAAAACAATTTAGATCAAATTCCACATTTAATCCATACGGATTAATATATTTTTAATATTTTTAATATATTGATTACTGATATATGCTATGTATCCTGTATACTCGGATCATGGGTTTATTCACATGACTTATTAGGAATTCGTTTGGGTATTGTTTTTTTTCAATCATAGGTAAACGGTCGGATTGGGCGAAGCGAGGTGTGACCTAATTAACCATATATTCATTTGTTTTTATTCATGGGATTTTTTAAAAAAACAAATAGTTTTTCTTAGTTCTTAGTTTTTTGCGAGGATGTAGAGGAATCAAGTTAGGGTTTTGAATAAATGTTTCTATTGGAAATAATTAAATTGTATGGTTTATATGGATTTATATGTTTATATTATATTGGTATATATATATATATACCGGTATATTATTTTTAATAGTAAAGGTAGCAATTTTATTAGATGGGAGTATCTATTTTTATATTTATGTAAATCATTGCTGGGTCTCATTTACCTATAAATAATAATTTTCTTCTGCCCCCTTTTTTAATATAGATTTTTTAATATAGATTGACTGGTAATAAAGTGGGGGTATTATGTGGGTTTTAATATTTTTAATATTATATTAAAAGATTAGTTACATTGTTTATATATGTTTTCTGAGGGGAGTGGTAATAAGAATATGCTATATATATGATGGAAGTTGATGGCTCCTATCTATAGCACGGATCGAGTGCTGTAATAGGATGTCTTCTAGTAACGGGGATAGCAGTGAGGACTCCGGTAAAATGGCCGCCGGGAGTCCGCCCTCTAATTAGGTATAGTGGGTTGACTATCCCATATATAAATGAATCATGGCTCTGGGGGGCGGTACCCTGATGAAGTCACGACGCACGTGACGCAACGCGTCGGAACGCCATTCCCAGCATGAGATTACGTCACTTCCGGTCACGTGGGGACGTTTTTGTCCGGACGCAGCGGCCATATTGGTTTCCCTCCCTGTATGAGAGTACACCCATGATGTGAGGTGAAAAAGCGCTGTATCCAAAGATACCATGTGAGTTGGAAAGTTTGTTATGCTATATTACTTATAATAAACGGTGTTATACTATGGGAAGTTTCTGTTTGTGCCCTATATGACGTGGTAAGAGGAGGTGGAGTGGAAGTCCTGAGGTTCCTGCCCGAGTTGCTTGGAGGAAAGGATTGCCTTTAAGGAGAGCCTTTTTGCCTTTTGGCCCTGTGTGGGTCGAGGAGGGGAGGTGAGCAGGCATTTCTGCCGTTGGAGGATTCCTTTCTTGAGCACTAGAAGTGAAGATCACAGAGTGTTTCACAATTTTGCATGGATTATTTGAGTTTTTTTGATACACTGAGTTTATTTATTTATTTTTTTTGATCTAAGAAGCAATTTTTTCTAATTTGTTATAGGGTTTACCACAGACATATGTATTTACCTATCGCAGCATCACTATATACCTTTTTTTGATATTCAGTTGTGTCACAAGTATCATGATTTGTCACATTTTTATGAATCAGTAGTATTATGTTAATTGTTTTTATCACTATATATTATGAATTGTATATCTTGGTATCTTTTTTCACAGATCTATTAAGAGTTAATAGTATATGGGTATATATGTGAAGTGTTTATGTAATTTTTCACTTATTGAATAATTTTTTTAGTTAATTTGAGAGCGCTTCACTATTTTATGCACGGTACTCTCCACTACACTATTATATTCTGACAGTAGGGGGGGGTATGTGACAAACATCATGTCAAACCACTGCCCTTTCCACAACTTGGGACAAATGACCGGTCAACCTCACACCGCACTGTCACTGATTCACAACAGTTTCACCCTGCACAATGATTTTCTAGCCTGTGGGACCACAATCTAGGTGACAACAGACTGAGAGCGATTGTCACTGGGTTTAGGTATCTAAGCAATTAACCCTTTAAACTGCCACCACCTACCTTTTTTAATGAGAAGTAGGACACGTTCCCAATGTTAGCAAATAACAATTATGATTTTAAATTAAACGTATGTAACACAAGCTGTCACCACAGACAGGTATATTCAGAGATTCACACTACAGTAGCATTCCTCAAGAGACATGGATTCTTTGAGTTTGCATTAGCGCATTAAAAGTTTTAGCAACTTTAAAATATGGTTTAAATAGGAAGAGGTCAAAAATAGTGCAAATAAAATACAGAAAAAAAAAGATATGACAAAGAGAAAAGAGACAACAATGCAACAGAGAAGCTGAAGCTCCCTAGCAGCCCATACTTACCTTACATTGCTTCCTTACTGCTCTGTTCAGCTACCAGGAGCAAGGGATGCTGGCCTGTGTAAGCTTTGAATTACTAGCATCATAGCTTACACAGGGCAAAGGGCTATGACAGTGCTGGTGTTTGATGATGGGAGAAATCCCTTGTCCCGTGGAGGTGCAGGAGAGCAAAGGACACCTGAGTATGAGCTGATGAGGAGGTGGGAGATGATTAAAGCAAACCTACCATGCCCTGTCTGAAGAAAGCACAGCTTTGCTTAAAAAAATAAGAACTGTGAAAATGCTGTATGATGTTTGTAGCACAAAGTGTCTTAGTGGTTGTCACACCTGCCTTGCGGCACTGGGGTCATCAGTGTAAATCCTGATCAGGGCACTACCTGTGTGGGAAGGTGCAACGTTGTATGACAGCAGAGAACACAGAGTCCAGTTGCAATAAACTTAAAATTTGTATTAATTAGAATGCCAACATTACAAACAGCCTAGTAGGAGGTCCACTTAGGGAAATAACTCAAAGTTCAGAGCAGTCAAGATGTGGCAGAGGTGGGAAATGAGGACTGGCTAGTCAAGTCCCAAGCGGGGAGGCTTCTTTTCAGCTTAGCGAGTCTCTAACCTGTACTTCCTGTCCGAAACCTTTCCCTACAGCTAAGTGCTTTCCCTACCAAGTGGGGGTCTCTCTCCCTACACTAGCCACTCGCAAAAAGCATGCCAATAACCGAGGGCAGGGACTTAGATAGACCCTGCTGACCCAAGATGGCCACCTAGGGTCATATGGCTTCAGTGTAGGGAACCAGAACACCTCCAACCCAAGAAGCCATAAAGAAACAATATTTCCCTTGACTTTCTCTCCAGCTGTGGCATCACTCAACTTACAGTGGATAACAAAGATTGTACTTTTGCATAGGCTTTGCATGTTCTTTGCAGTCCTCATTGCTAAATATGTGCAGAAACACTGGTTTGGTACTTCATTTGATGGACTTATGTACAATGCACCTGGATCAGACTTATTTATACTTTTTCCATTATAACTTTAGTAAAACTGGGGTTTTCTCACTTGTTAGATGGGGGAAACAGTGGGATCGAATGACTGTCATCTCATATATATGGCCAGCTTAACAAACATTGCTTAGTACTGTTCTGCAGATTCATGTCATACTATCTAGTGCAAAGTGAACACCAATATTTCCGGAGTTGAATTTGTGAACATCTGGGTCAGTGTGTTTCTTACAGTGGATAAAATGACTGATTATACCTCTGTATACAGGTACCCAGATAACACAGACAAAGACATGGTTATAGCAAAGATGGTGGACTTGGACGGAAAGGATATTGGGCTCATAAGGTAAATGGCTTCTTTTTATTTTGGTTAATGCAGAATAAACGTATGCAACTATGCAAAAACCCTGATATAATAATAGGTCAGCAACAGGCATATACATTTAATAAAAAAAAAAATCTGTCAGGATGAAAATGTGAGAGTCGCTATTACTGACTAGTTTTGGAAGGTGCCAACTTTTGGGCTATCTGTTCCTCTATTCATTTCTTTGTGTGTCACTGACCTGGACCAAGCTTGTGTATATAAAGTTTTGGGGCACTGAAAATGTATTGTACTTATTCTGTCTCAGTGACAGGTAATCAACTAAGGCGTAGGATGACAGCCCCAGAGTTGGTATCATCAAAACAAGGAAGCAGTGTCAGATCCTATAATTCTCTCCTCACAGATTTCATTGGAGAGATTTTAAAAAATTGCATAGCAATGGAAATTGCTTGTCTCAACCCAAAAGTGAATTAGATATACAGGTGAAACTCAAAAAATTAAAATATCATACAAAAGTTCATTTATTTCAGTAATGCAACTTAAAAAGTGAAACTAATATATGAGCTAGATTCATTATATGCAAAGCAAGATAGTTCAAGCCGTGATTTGTCATAAGTGTGATGATTATGGCTTACAGCTCATGAAAACCCAAATCCACAATCTCAGAAAATTAGAATATTGTGAAAAGGTGCAATATTCTAGGCTCAAAGTGTCCCACTCTAATCAGCTAATTAAGCCATAACACCTGCAAAGGGTTCCTGAGCCTTTAAATGGTCTCTCAGTCTGGTTCAGTAGGAATCATTCATAATCATGGGAAAGACTGCTGATCTGACAGTTGTGCAGAAAACCATCATTGACACCCTCCATAAGGAGGGAAAGCCTCAAAAGGTAATTGCAAAAGAAGTTGGATGTTCCCAAAGTGCTGTATCAAAGCACATTAATAGAAAGTTATGTGGAAGGGAAAAGTGTGGAAGTAAAAGGTGCACAAGCAGCAGGGATGACCGCAGCCTGGAGAGGATTGTCAGGAAAAGGCCATTCAAAAGTGTTGGGGACTTTCACAAGGAGTGGACTGAGGCTGGAGTCAGTGCATCAAGAGCCACCACACACAGACGGATCCTGGAAATGGGCTTCAAATGTCGTATATTCCTCTTGTCAAGCCTCTCCTGAACAACAAACAACGTCAGAAGCGTCTTACCTGGGCTAAAGAAAAACAGACCTGGTCTGTTGCTCAGTGGTCCAAAGTCCTCTTTTCTGATGAGAGCAACTTTTGCATCTCATTTGGAAACCAAGGACCTAGGAGTATGGAGGAAGAATGGAGAGGCACACATTGCAAGATGCTTGAAGTCCAATGTGAAGTTTCCTTAGTCTGTGTTGATTTGGGGAGCCATGTCATCTGCTGGTGTTGGTCACTGTGCTTCATTAACACTTCATTAACGCATTCGTCAACGCAGCCGTCTACTAGGAGATTTTGGAGCACTTCATGCTTCCTTCCGCAGACAAGCTTTATAGGGATGCTGACTTCATTTTCCAGCAGGACTTGGCACCTGCCCACACTGCCAAAAGCACCAAAATCTGGTTCAATGACCGTGGGATTACTGTGCTTGATTGGCCAGCAAACTCGCCTGACCTGAAGCCCATAGAGAATTTATGGGGCATTGCCAAGAGAAAGATGAGAGACATGAGACTGAACAATGCAGAAGAGCTGAAGGCCGCTATTGAAGCATCCTGGTCTTCCATAACACCTCAGCAGTGCCACAAGCTGATGGCTTCCATGCCACGCCGCATTGAGGCAGTAATTGCTGCAAAAAGGGCCCAAACCAAGTACTGAGTACATATGCATGCTTATACTTTTCAGCGGTCCGATATTGTTCTATGTACAATTCTTGTTTTATTGATTGCATGTAATATTCTAAGTTTCTGAGATTGTGGATTTGGGGTTTTCGTGAGCTGTAAGCCATAATCATCACAATTATGACAAATCACGGCTTGAACTATCTTGCTTTGCATGTAATGAGTCTATCTCATATATCACTATTAGTTTAACCTTTTAAGTTGCATTACTGAAATAAATGAACTTTTGCACGATATTCTAATTTTTCGAGTTTCACTTGTAATATCCATTATGTAGATAATATATAAATATACATGACTCAGATATAGCACAAATATAGTTTACTTTGCTACCTCATATAAAGTACTACTAAAACATATGAAATTTGATTCCCTAAGAACCTATATTATCTTTTGTATCCTGTAAATAAAAAGAAACATCATATTCTATAGCATCAACAAAAACGTATCCTATAAATCCCAGCAAATACATTAAATATATACAGTATATGCTGTGCAAGCCACCCTTCAAAAAACAATAATACTGGACATGGAGAAGTTAGCATCATGTAGATACAATATCTATACACTGTATTACATATATTTATTAACACCTCAGCAATGAGCGCACAACCCCTTTTGTCTGATGAATAATATATGCACAACTGCCACAATAGGCATGAAGGCCGATGTCTGTTTCAGTGTCAAATAAGGAGATGGATGATTAAGCGCATATTCTCAGCTGAGTTGGAACCAACAAATTGATCAGCAAAACGAGGTGTTTAAGATCCAATTGAGCAATTCCAAAGCCGGAAAGGCTCAATCAAAGACCAGCAATATGTGACCAAAGCTGGCCATACACTAGTTAAATGTCATATGGAAATTTCAGTTTTCAGAATGTGTTTTGATTTTCTAATGGTTGATAGGTTCAAGTATGCAATTCCATATTTGAATGGGACTTACAGGTATTCTACATATAAACCTATAAAAGTCTATAAAATGTATTTTATTACACATACATATATAAATAACCAATAAAAATCAAAGCAATACTAGTGATCAAGACATATTGGGTATGAAGAAAATTATACCCAATATGTCTTAATCACTATTGTGACCTTTTATGTTGCCTTGATTTTTATTTTTAAATGTGTAATAAATACATTTAATAGACTTTTATATGTTAATATGTAGAATGGATGAAAAGTCCCCTCCAAATGTGGAATTAACCATTAGAAACTAGAAAGAATATTCCAAAAACTAACATTTTCTACTAGTGTATGGCCAGCATTGATCACAGATTGCTAATATCCAGTTTTGACTTTACATCTTTGGAATATTATATATAGTGCTCAAAAAAATTAAAGGAACACTTTTTAATCAGAGTATAGCATCAAGTGAACTAAACTTCTGGGATATTGATCTGGTCAGTTAAGTAGCAGAGGGGGTTTTTAATCAATTTCAGCTGCATTAGTGTTAATGAAATTAACAACAGGTGCACTAGATGGGCAACAATAAGACAACCCCCAAACCAGAAATGGTTTTACAGGTGGAGGCCACTGACAATTTTTTCCCTTCTCATCTTTTCTGACTGTTTTTCACTAGTTTTGCATTTGGCTAGGGTCAGCGTCACTACTGGTAGCATGAGGTGATACCTGGACCCTATAGAGGTTGCACAGGCAGCCCAAGTCCTCCAGGATGGCACATCAATACATGCCATTGCCAGAAGGTTTGCTGTGTCTCCCAGCACAGTCTCAAGAGCATAGAGTATATTCAAGAAGACATGCAGTTACTCTAGGAGAGCTGGACAGGCCGTAGAAGGTCATTAACCCATCAGCATGACCAGCATCTGCTCCTTTGTGCAAGGAGGAACACGATGAGCACTGCCAGAGCCCTACAAAATGACCTCCAGCAGGCCACTGGTGTGAATGTCTCTGACCAAACAATCAGAGACAGACATCATGAGGGTGGACTGAGGGCCTGACATCCTCTAGTGGGCCCTGTGCTCACTGCTCAGCACCATAGAACTCGATTGGCATTTTCCATTGAACACCAGAATTGGCAGCTCTGCCACTGGTGCCCTGTACTTTTCACATATGAGAGCAGGTTCACCCTGAACACATGTGACATACATGAAAGGGTCTGGAGAAGCCATGGAAAATGTTATGCTGCCTGTAACATCGTTCAGCATGACCGTTTTGATTGTGGGTCAGTGATGGTCTGGGGATGCATATCCGTGGTGGGATGCAAAGACCTCTATAGGCTAGACAATGGCACCCTGACTGCCATTAGGCATCAGGATGAAATCCTTGGACCCATTGTCAGACCCTACACTGGTGCAGTGAGTCCTGGGTTCCTCCTGGTGAACGACAATGCCTGTCCTCATGTGGCGAGAGTATGCAGGCAGTTCCTGGAAGATGATGGAATTGATACCATTGAATGGCCTCCACATTTATCTAATGCAAAGCACAGTTATCAAAGTCAGTACTACCAAGCCTATCAAGTCTTTCCAAGGAACATTTTTTTTCTGTGAAACTGAAACCTTTAAATCACTAAAGCTTACCTTTATTCTCACTAACATATGATTTTCCCCTGTTGCTTTCAGCTGGTTTGCTGTGCATGCCGTTAGTATGCCAAACACTAACCACTTGATCAGCAGTGACAACTTGGGCTATGCATCTTACTTGTTTGAGCTGGAAAAGAATAAAGGGTTTCTGCCTGGAGAGGTTGGTGTTGTACCGAATGGCAAATAGATAATTGTAAAACTGATTGACACAGCAATAGCATTGTACAGTAATAATACATTAAAGTGGTTGTAAACTCTTACTTATACTCAGTGAAGTGACTGGCCTCAAGTGATACATAGAGATGAAAGAAATCATTGTACACAAGTTGTATCTGTTTATTTGCAGCTATTTGTCCTGTAAATCCTTGTAAAACTCAGATATGAAAAGGATTTTTCACAGATTCACAAAGCACGAGGCAGGAAGCTTCAGTTACACACTGTACAAGAGCTCTGAGAGCTTATTGAAGGGAAAGGACACAACCCCTTCACACAGCACACAGGAACAGAGCTGAGGCTGTCAATCACAGGCTTTGTGCTGGAGATCCTTCCCCTGTCACCTTTTTACCTCTTGGTGGAAGAACAAGACAGAAGAGAGAAATTACACTTAGTGCTTTGGAGAGAAGCAAGTAAACACGATAGAAATAGGTGCTTTTGTTCAGTTTTAATGTTTGAGGTTTACAATCACTTGAATTTTTTTGAAGGTGTGCAGGACCGAAGTTAATACAGAAAAAAAATATTGAATACTTAAAGTGGAATAAAAGCCTTAACCTGGCTAAAGATGGATCAAAATTCAGCTGGTTCAGCAGGGACAGGACAAATTTCGATCCATCTATAGCAATTCCAGTTCATGAGAAGTTAACTTCTCTTGAACAGACTTGTTGGAAAATTTGGCTCTAACCAGCCAGTGCAGTGCTGATCTGTGTATTCTGACAGTCAGGGAGTTCGGCTGTCAGAATACAATGGCACAGCATGGAGGATCCCTGCATCCACCTCGAATGTATGAATGCAGGATTTGGTTCAGTTTTTTCATTCTGTTCCGGTTCAGTCATGTGATTCTGCAGCTCCCTCTCAGGGAGCACTTGACAATGACTGTGAACTGTGGAAGCTGTAACGTCAACCATGGCCCAGTTATTGTCAACGCTCCCTCCTCTCGCCTGAAGCACCTGCTCTGACACAACTAACACAGGGGACCATGGACTTTGTTTATGCATACTGTAGATGTATTATTAGATTTATTTGGATTGCTTACCTTCAGTTGTATTGCACCTATTGTGATTGTTGGTGCGGCAAGTGTGTATTTTAGGAGTACTAGTCACAATAGGATTGTGGTATCATCACTATTGCTATGTGTAATAGTGTTTTTATTCATTTTATTCATATACAACATATTTGTGCATTCATTCACATTTTGATTATTTTATTGAACACATTTTAATATATATTGTTATTATTATTTTAAATAAGTTTTGATATGTACTGCTGCTCTCTTCATTAGAGTCATTTTCTCAGGTGCACTGCGAACTGTATTTGTGCGCTGAAGGTGAAATTACCTTGATGTAAACTATAGGCTGATTTGTTGTTGTAAGCAATTGAGCTATGGGGAAATGAAAGAGAATTTTCTTAATAAGATGGCTGCTTTTCATTCATATTGCATGACTTTGAATCCCTTCCCCTATTATCGCAAATACTCAGGGGACAGGAGTGGGGTTTAAGGAAAAACCCTAAGCTGGAAGCAAACTGTTGTATTTTCAAGTCCTCTGACTTTCAGTGCTAAGGGATTTATGAATTTTAAGACCTCATTAGGAACCTGTAAAACTATAAAATTCATTACTCCGTAAATGTAAGAAGCACAAGGTGCCTGTACAGACATTCAGCTGGTGTTTTCTCTTGCAAACCTCAAAATTTGGTACAAGACAAGAACCACACTTCAGAGCTTTGGCATTCTCCCCTTTCCCATATGCCACAAGGGACAATACATGCTTCCTAAGGATCTTTACAGAGTCTTGTAATAGCCCAGTGAGATTCAGGCTTAAGGAGAACTCAATGAACTCTGGCGTGGATCCAATGTTAGCATTGTGCATGTTGCATGACAAACTTCAGGGGCTTTTTTTTTTTTTAGCATAATGGTTTCCATTCAATCCCATTAACAAATACTACAAGTTTGGTTTACTGATCCTTTAATCACCATCAGCTATATAGATATGTTATTTGTATAGTCCAATATCAAAAAGAATGTTCAAACTGCATTCATTCCTTTTGTTTTTGGGTAACTTAGGACATCATAAGTTTTGATTTTTACAAAAATGAATGTAAACATTTTGTCTGTGAAATGAGAAAATCCTTAGAAATTTTTTGTGTATTTTCCAGGGATCTTTTGTAGCGGCTTTCGCATCATCAAATCTTGGGGATGTGACGCCAAATACCAGGGGACCTCATTGTACAAATACAGGTCTTTCATGTGAAAATCCAACTAGTACTTGTCCAGAAGGTGGGGTGAGTTAGACCTTACATTTTTTCTTCTCTCTCTTTTAGGATCCTGCAGATCTCTCATTTACACTATTGTCTTGATTTTCAGGGATTTGAAATAGGCAGAGTTTGGTAAAACAGGATGCAGCCTATCAAAAATATTCAGTTTGTAGACTTGGGTTTCAAGGATCAGGAGCAAAGTCTAGTGGAATTTAACGAGGTGTAGCATGCCTCACACAACTGGGAGAATGCTTGGAATATTCTTCAGACCTTGCTGTAACTTTAGTGGATTTTGAAAAGTAAATGTTTAAGGATAACTACAACAAAAATTGGTATCCTAAACTACACACCTTGCAGCTCTACTTATTTACCATTTGATCTGACGTAATATTTTTTTGTAATTACTTTCTAAAACAGATATTCCATTGGACTGTTGCTTCTAGTGGCATAACATGAGGAAAGGTTTAGAGCACCACTTTCTTTATCCAATTTCTTTAGATTGAGAATTAAGGGGCATTATGTGTGTAAAATTGTGCTTCAGAAGCCCCAGTAAGAAGATCTAGTGTTGTAAAGTCCCATCGTCAAAGTTTTCTTTTGGTTTGATTAAAGTAATAATTGGGAATCAATGGAGGAGCATTGTGGATCTGGTCTTCATATGCTGGCTACAATGATACTGAAAACCAAATAGTGTCATCCTTATAGCCTAATTACATTTGGCTCTATTAGCTTTTGTGGAATGCAAAATTTAATGTTAGATGTGATGCATTTAGACTCATTTTAGGTGTATTTACACAGGTTGTATGCATGGCCACTTACCTCTATGAAAGGTAAGTGGTTGCTGGAAACTGTAGCAAACATGAACACAGCAGGATTTTTTCTTACCTGCATCAAAACTTTTTTTTTGTTTACAAAGTTTTATTAAATAAAAGAGTAAAATACTTTCAAAACTTTTGAAATTGTGATTTATATCTGTAAGTAAAAAAAGGAGATCACACATGCTGTAGATCAATTCACAAAAAAGATCTCACCAAAAAAAAAGTGATCAGTGACTTACAATAGATGTTCTAAGTCAAAATTAGAACAGACAAAGTACCGAGAGAAGAGACATAAGAGAAAATAAATAATAAATAAATACAAAAAATAAACTATTAATTATAACTGAGAGTACAACAGCTCTAGTCTCCCAGTAATGAATGTACAAGTTTAATAAAACAAAGAATACATTAATTGGTCTTGTAGACGGTATATTATGAACCAGTAAATAACAGTAGATCATTTCGGATGGAAAATGAGCAGGCTATATCACAATCTTCCTTCTCAAAAACGAGATAATGTGAGTATACGTTAGTGAGGTAGACGGTATAGAAACCACTTAGCACCAGACATTAACTTAAAATCAGTGATAGTGTGAAAGATTCACTTCATCAGCATTATAGCATCCATTCTAGACAAAAATTTTGTAAATGGTAATATCTGCGATTTAACTTGAATAAATGGTAAAGTCTGCGATTTACCTTCATCAATACTTTGAGGTGTAAATTGCCATAAAATAGCTTACCTTGGTACATTATTTCCATGCTTATTTACTCTTGCCAAAATTTTATCAAATGAGAATTTAACGTAAAATGTAAGAGCCATGTGATAACTGCCTCAAACACTTCAAAGACTATGAAATAATTTTTCTTGAACTGATCTATCATTCGTGAAGCTGAAGGTTTACAGTGTGTGATAAAATGCATTGTTTTCTTTTATGATCAAAATTTTAGGTTATGACCTGCATTGCCACTGGCCCTGGAGAGAATGTGTTTGAGAGTACAAGAATCATAGGGGAAAATATATTTTTAAGAGCCAAGGTAGGTTAGTGTTTATCTCATAAATGAACAAATGGTCTGAAAGTAGAGCTAGTGTTCTCTGTATTGATAATGTTCTCTGTATGTATATTATAGATATTTGTAGTGTTCTCTGTATTGATAATGTTCTCTGTATGTATATTATAGATATTTGTAGTGTTCTCTGTATTGATAATGTTCTCTGTATGTATATTATAGATATTTGTAGTGTTCTCTGTTGTATTGATAATGTTCTCTGTATGTATATTATAGATATTTGTAGTGTTCTCTGTATTGATAGTGTTCTCTGTATGTATATTATAGATATTTGTAGTGTTCTCTGTATTGATAGTGTTCTCTGTATGTATTTTATAGATATTTGTAGTGTTCTCTGTATTGATAATGTTCTCTGTATGTATTTATAGATATTTGTAGTGTTCTCTGTATTGATAGTGTTCTCTGTATGTATATTATAGATATTTGTAGTGTTCTCTGTTTCAGTAGTGCTATCTGTATCTATAGTGTACTCTATATCTCTAGTCTTCTCTATATTTATTGCATTATCTGTATCTATTAGAGTTTCCAGTCTATCAGTTAGCTAACTGCATCTTGAAGAAGGTTGCAATTGGTTCTGTAGGCACAACTGTCATGAGCAGTTGTCTCTTTTCTGTAGCTCCTGGTTAGACATTGGCTCATTTATGGTCAGCATTACTCTATACACTGAACAGCTACCAAATCATACTGGGTGGCAAATGGATGCTCTTTATCAGATGCTTAAAGTTTGCATAACAAACATTTCAGAAACTGTTTTTGGCTTTATCTTTACAAGTTACATGTGTTTTTATTGATATTAATATATAGAATTTGTATGAAGAAGCATCCAAGCAGATAGAAAGCAACGTGAATTCTGCCCACCAGTGGGTTAACATGAGTAGTGTCATTGTGAAACTTAATGACACCCATAGCGTGAGTATTTATGTGACTCCATGAATATTATGACTAACACCCATGCTGGAAGGAAAGAAAACTGCATAATCTATGGCCTTCCCAAGACCGTATTGTTTAAACAGTGTGTACATTTCCACTCAATCTGCATTTCATGTGTTTCTGTAAATCATTTATTTCAAATCTGCAAATTCTGAAAATAGAAAAACACACACATGTCAAAATCTATTGAAAAATACATTGGTTTCAAATAGAATGAAAAGTAGACATGTGCATTTAGTTTTGTTACGATTTGTTTTTTTTTTGACAAAATTTCTATTTTGGGAGATTAGGTTGTATGCAAATCTCCGAATGGACATAGTAACAGATGTCAATGAATCAGAAAAAAGTTATAGCGAAATTAATGAATGCATTTGTTTTATTCGGATTATGTCACATGATGTGATAGTAGTTTGGGCCCATGGGAACATGAATTAAATTTTTGAATGGATCTAAATTTCATTCCATTCATTAATTCTGATGTTGATCTTGTCCAATCAGCTCATTCTATTCCTCTTGGTAGGTTGAACTAGAGTCAGAAAACATTCAATCCTTCTGATTCAAACCCATCTTATTCGATAATATATTGAATATATAGCAATCCTTCGGAAAAACTGAAAAATGTTTCTAATCCACCCGGACCAATGAATATATGAAACAAATGCAGAAGATACTAAACAAATTCTGAAAGTGAATTGGTTCAAAATAACGAATATGACAAAATTAAATTCTTCAATGAATGAATGCATCTGAAACAAAACAAAAATTTCCAGCATGCACAAAGACATAGCTAGAACCTTCAGGAACCTGGTGCAAAAAAACATGAAGGGTCCCCTGACTACCTCCCTTCTCTCTGAGCCCAGGGCCCTTCCCATTGATCTCTGGGTCCTTAACTCCCATCACAGGGGCCTTTATTATGGTCCTAAAGCAGGACCTTTTCACATGTTCTTCAGTGGGCACCCTGCCTTTTGGGTAGGGTCTCCACCTGTTCTTCAAGCCAAACCCAAACACTTTAGTGGTGCAAGGCGAATTTGTTTTTTTAAATAATGTGAACCTGCGCTTTCCCTTACTTCACCACAGCTGCTGTACCAATGAGCTATACTAATTGTATCAGCCCTTATATATACTCTATCATTTATACAGCGCTATTGGTTTTTGTTTAAACATGTGCAATAAACAAGCATATTCTCTACAATGCTCATATCCTCAAACAAAAATGAAACATGATTCAATAAAGTGTCCTTTGTGCTTTAGTCTCTCTGTGCATATAAAGTGCCCAAGTGTTTTCAGTTATTCACAGTAGAATGCACAATGTCTTCAAACTTATTAAAGTATATCAAACAACCATGCAGCGCTAGTTAGACATAATATTGCATGCAAAAATCCTCATACGGTACATATAATAAAAGTGCATATAGTGAATGGTAAAGTGAACACCACTTAATAAAATAACCTAAAACGTCCAGGGATAGTAATGATGATAAATAAGTGAGTAAATAAATAAATAAATGAAAATCTTCAACAAGAGAGTTCCTGCGGTGTATGATGTAAACCAATTTCAAGGTAAAAAGGTGACACAGTAAGTGACTTCTGTGACCATATTCTTCCTACAGAAATGAGTGTAGATTGCACTAACCAGAAAGCGCAATGGTAATGCGCATTTGAGTGTTAACCAACTCCTGGTCATCCGGCTAATGATACTGGAACTGGATCACAGAGAGTGGTCATCTGGCCTGCATCAGCTGGGCAAACATCTCAACCTCAGGAGCTCCAGGTAGCAGCGGACGTGTAGTCGTTTCACCACCGGGGGGAGTCTAACCAATCCTGATGTGGCCACCAGATCATCCCAATAAGCCTTGAAGAAGGGGGGGGGCTCGGAAGTAACGAGCCAAGACAACAGGAGATACTAATAGTGTAGTACTTTATTATCCACAAGGGAAAAAGTAGACAAATAACTGGGCACCTCCCTATACCCTGTGACGTCACACTGCATGGCCCCTGTGGACGGCCGGCGGGGCCATTTTGGAATCCCTGCTACTAGCTGCTCATTGTACATGTGAGTAGTTTCTTTCAGTTATTTGTCTACTTTTTCCCTTGTGGATAATAAAGTACTACACTATTAGTATCTCCTGTTGTCTTGGCTCGTTACTTCCGAGCCCCCCCCCCTTCTTCAAGGCTTATTGGGATGATCTGGTGGCCACATCAGGATTGGTTAGACTCCCCCCGGTGGTGAAACGACTACACGTCCGCTGCTACCTGGAGCTCCTGAGGTTGAGATGTTTGCCCAGCTGATGCAGGCCAGATGACCACTCTCTGTGATCCAGTTCCAGTATCATTAGCCGGATGACCAGGAGTTGGTTAACACTCAAATGCGAATTACCATTGCGCTTTCTGGTTAGTGCAATCTACACTCATTTCTGTAGGAAGAATATGGTCACAGAAGTCACTTACTGTGTCACCTTTTTACCTTGAAATTGGTTTACATCATACACCGCAGGAACTCTCTTGTTGAAGATTTTCATTTATTTATTTATTTACTCACTTATTTATCATCATTACTATCCCTGGACGTTTTAGGTTATTTTATTAAGTGGTGTTCACTTTACCATTCACTATATGCACTTTTATTATATGTACCGTATGAGGATTTGCATGCAATATTATGTCTAACTAGCGCTGCATAGTTGTTTGATATATTGTAGTTTGAGGATCCTGGTGTTTGCCTTTCATGCAAGTCGCTTTTTGGTTGTTTATCCAGCGCTCGTATCTTTTTTGTTTTTCATTTAAACTTATTAAAGTGTCCGTGCACAAAAAAGTGCTCCATTTCCAACAATCAGTGCCATAGTGTTCCTGAAATCCTCCACCATAAACACAGTATCATGGATAATCACCATCAGTCTTCTCCTTCTTGGGCCAGCTGCACTCTTTCCTTTTAAATGTCTCACACAACATGTAGGGAGAGGTAGAGGGAGACTACCATAGTGTGAAATCTTTAAAACCTTTTATTTATTAAAAACCATTTCCACAATGCCCGCTCACATTTTAGGTGCATACCCTTGCACCAGGATAAAAATGCATGTTACATCATAAGCCTAGGGATAACAAGGATCTGGCTCAAAGCTCTCTCACCACCTCCTTCTCCTGTATTAACCACTTCCGATGTCGCTGTGTGGGATGACGTCCTTTCCTGCTGTGCCCTGATGCAGCGTTCCGTCTTCCTGACACCAAGAGGCCCTTTTGAGAACATCAGGAAGACGAAATGCCGCGGTGGGGCGTAGCAGCAAGTTTGAAGGCTTTGTGCATTATACTGTGAATAAATGAAAGCACTTGGAAACTTTATATATAGAGACGTTATTAAAGGACAAAGGACACTTTATTGAATCATGTGTAATTTTTATTTGAGGATATGAGCATTGTAGAGTATATGCTTGTTTATTGCACATGTTTAAACAAAAACCAATAGCGCTGTATAAAACATAGAGAATTTGTTTTTTTATAGAATATACTACACATATATTTTGTGATTAAATAACATTTCTAATCATATGGATTCAAACACAGGTGTCCACCATACATCAGAATCCACATAATTCCTCCTTTAACATCTGAATCCAAAGAGTTCCCCTTATATCAGAGTCCAAAGAGCCCCCTTACATCATAGCCCATGGAGCCTCATTATATTAGAATTTGCAAAGCCCTCTTACATCAGAGTCCATTGAGCCCCCCTTACATCAGAAACCGCAGAGTGCCCCTCACATCAGAGTCCACAGAGCGCCCCTTACATCGGTGTCCACAGAGCGCCCCTTACATCAAAGTCCACCTTATAACATATGTCTCTGCTGTATTAATATAGTAAATTTGCCCTCTTTATATTGTCTGTAATTTATGTGTTATATCTTCTGAAGGCATCAACCTGTAAACCTGCCCTTGGCTACAGCTTTGCTGCTGGAACAATTGATGGTCCTGGGCTGATCAATTTCACTCATGGTAAGAGCTCCTATGCATCAACCACATATGTATATATGATGTATTGCATGTGTATCTTTAAAAACGTTAAATGCTGAACATATGGTAATACATGAGTTTTAAATACAAGGTTCTTTCCAATGCATTTGTTCCAAACAAGCTTGCTTGGTAGGGCAATGTAAAGAGAAATTATGACGTGACCCAGATGAGCTAAGCTGAAACCATATTTTACTTGACTATGACTACAAGAAGAGTAAGTCTGTAGAGTAATGTACTTTGCTCCCCATTGCTGCAATTTAAATTGACCTACTATTTATTGAATATGTATGCATATGGAAAAGTGTGTATGTATGGAAAATACAAAGTGTGTATGTATGGAAAATACAAAGAAAAAGTTGTACCTGCTTGAAATATTAATTCTTAAATATTAATCTTAAACCACAAATTAGGATTGTGTCTGTTAGGCATGTGACTGGTACTCCGTAAGACTCCAAATCCCTCCTCTGCCCTTAGAAGCATTTAATCACACCAAGATCAGTATGATTAAATACTTTTCTTTTTAAAAAATGGCTCAGTTTATTTCCAAGTAAACCGGAAGTGATGTAAGGTCATCACTTCCGGGTTACTATATCATAGAGCCAAACAAAGCTGATCTGGCCTTTGTTTGACTCTGTGATCACCTGGGGAAGCACCGCCTAGTCAATTGGGACTCCCAGTGGAACTCAATGCTTGTAATAGCAATTGAGTGGCTAGTTAGCCGCTCCGATTGCTATTACAAGACGGTTAATAGTTGGCTGCAGGCATCATCCCGGTACAAGCAAATGAAGTCCAATGGCATCCAGTGACAAGGTACGTGACTGGTCGGCAAATGTACATAGGTTATGTGATAGGAGCAAATAAAACTGTTTACATTTGGAGATTTCAGTGTTACCCACCAATGTCAGATATGACAGCATATGCTAATGGTTGGTATGAAACTAAACACATTAATACCTAATACAAAATAAAAAATAAAAATTATGTGTATGTAAGTATATAAAACTACAGAACTGTCTATCGTTTCATGTTCAATACCTGATTTATAATACATTTCGCAAAAGTAAACAAAAATCTCATGAAAAAAATGTTAATGCTAAAGAAAAGTTACCAATATGTTGATATGTAAGTGGAAAATGACACTTGCAAGGCATAAATTTTACTAAGGGGTTGTTTTTACTTAACTTTGCAAAGGAAGTTGCACTTTGCAAATGATTTTTCCCCAGAGCTTAGTGAATGAGGTGAAGCTCCGTTGACTTCCACGATCCAATTGTGTGCAAGCAAAAAATGCTGTTTTTTAATTTTCCTTGCATGTAATTGGAATTTGTTTGCAAAGTGAATTCGCCACACTCATGGCCAATTTCCTTGCAAAGTGCAGCTTCCTTTGCAAAGTGAACATCATATTTGCCTTTAGTAAATCAACCCATAAGTAACAGCCTACAACCCTCCATGTTTATCTTTTATGTATAGGAATGACAGAGGGAGATCCGATGTGGGATGAATTAGCAGCAGCACTTCTTGGCACACCATCAAATGAAACAATAGAATGTCACCAGCCAAAACCCATCCTGCTGAACACTGGAGAAGTAAATATCTATATTCAATGTTTGGTACCTGGGGCACAGGAAATCATTTTATGAACTCAGTTAAAGTCTCACTCTCAAGAATTACATTCGGCCATGGGCTCTGTAATATTCGGAAATAAATAATATAATACACAAATAATGAAAATGATATATCCATCAACACCATTTTTTGGATGAATTGAAGGCATATATTAACCACTTGCCTCCAGAGGATTTACCCCCCCCCTTCTTGACTAGGCAATTTTTTGCGTTACGGCACTGCGTTACTTTAACTGACAGTTGCGTGGTCATGCAATTCTGCACCCAAATTAAATTTAAGTCCTTTTTTTCCCACAAATAGGGATTTCTTTCGGTGAATTTGATTGCTTGTGATTTTTTAGTTTTTTTGTGCTATAAACAAAAAAAGAACGACAATTTTGAGAAACAAACAATGACTTTTGACTTTTTGCTATTAAACATGTCCAGTAAAAAATTTTTAAAAATCAAATTTCATCAAAAATGTAGGTCAAAATGTATTTTGCTACATGTCTTTGCAAAAACAAATCCTAATATGTGTAAATTAATTGGTTTACGTGAACGTTATAGCATTTACAAATGGCAGTACATAATTTATTTTTTTTTACTAGTAATGGCGGCGATCAGTGACTTATAGCGGGACTGTGGGACTGCGGCGGGCATTCTGACACTGGAGGGAACTGACTTGGTGTCACTGACATCCCCAATGACACCAATACAGTGATCAGTGCTAATAAAATGCACTGACACTGTACTAATGGCACTGGGCAGGAAGGGGTTAACATGTGGGGCGATCAAATGGTTAACTGTGTGCTGTGTGTGTGCTTTCCACTGTAAGCACTGTGCTTTGTATGGCTCTGCTATGGAAAAAAAGAGATTTTTAGTAAACATCAGCACATAATACCATGGCCGGATCTAGGGGGGTGTTGGGGTGGGCTGTGCCCCCCAGATTTCAGTTGTGCCCCCCCCAAGCTGGGTGCCCCCTATGTACATTATTTCCCAGGACCGCTGAGCTTCCCCCTGATCCCTGCACTCAGGGCCGGCCACAGTGAACTACAGTAAACAGTCCAGACAGGAGAAGTGACGGTGGCAGAGAAGAGAGAGCAGGGAGGTGGTGCAGGCTTCTCTGTGATCTCCCTCCTCCTGTCATAACACCAATCGTCCATACAGAAGGTTATACAGGATCTCTCTTAGTTCTGATGGTACATGGCTTCATTAACCCCCTCTTCCCCCAGACTGCTCAACTCCTGGAAATGTGGATGGGGGCAGGTAATGAAGCCGTGTACCGTTGGATCTAAGAGCAATCCTGTGTAACCTGCTGTATGGAGGATCGCTGTTATGACAGGAGGAGGGAGATCACAGAGAGCCTGCATCTCCTCACTACTCCTGTAGTTCCCACATGCAAGATTGGGGGAGGGGGAGCTTGTGGAGGAGGGGTGGTGGTGGGGGGCTGTTTGTGCTGGGGAAGGGTAATTGGGAAGGATGTGTTAGGAGGCAGGATTAGGGAGGATTTGTGTTACGAGGGGAGAATTGGGGGGGGGGGGGGTTAGTGCTAGGAGGGAGAAATTGGGGGAGGGGGAATTGTGGGGGATTTGTGCTAGGAGGGAGATTTGGGTGGCGGCAGGGATTTGTTCCAGGAAGGATAATATGCAGGTGGTTGTGTTGGAGTGGGGAATTGGGGGGGAAATTGTACTGGTAGGGGGGATATGTACTAGTAGGGGATTAAGAAGGAGATTACCAAGGGGGGGATTAAGGGGAAGGATTTGTACTGAGAGAGGGGGTTGGGGTATATGTACTATGAGGGGGGGTTGTGGGGGAGGATTTGTACTAAGAGGGGGGGTTCAGGGGGAGGATTTGTAATAGGAGGGGGGAATTGGGGGGGTTGTTTGCACTAGGAGAGGGGGATTTGTGCTAGGAGGGAGATTTAGATTGAGGCAGGGATTTGTGCCAGGAAGGATAATATGCAGGTGGTTGCGCTAGGAGTGGGGGGGAAATTGTACTAGGAGGGGGATGGGGGGAATTTATACTGGTAGGGGGGATTTGGGGGGAATATGTACTAGGAGGGGGGATTAAGGGGGGGATTTATACTAAGAGGGGGGGTTAAGGGGGTTTGTACTAAGAGGTGGGATTTGGGGGGAGGATTTGTGCTAGGAGGGGGGTTTAGGGGGAGGATTTGTACTAAGAGCGGGATGGGGTGGAGGATTTGTACCAAGAGGGAGGAATTGGGGGGGGGGGGGGATTTGTACTAAGAGGTTGGATTTGAGGGGAGGATTTGTGCTAGGAGGCGGGTTTACAGGGAGGATTTGTACTAAGAAGGTAAATTGAGGAGGAGGATTTGTACTAAGAGGTGGGATTTGGGGGGAAAATTTGTGCTAGGAGGGAATTTAGGGGGAAGTATTTGTACTAGGAGGGGAGATTTGGGGAGAGGATTTACTTTAGGAGTGGGTATTTGGGGGGATTTGTACTGGGGGGATTTGGGAGAGAATTTGTACTAGTAGGGGAAATTAAGGGGGAGGATTTATACTAAGAGGGCGGATTGGGGAGGAGAATTTGTACTAAGAAGTGGGATTTGGAGGGAGGATTTGTGCTAGGAGGGGGGTTTCGGGGGCAGGATTTATACTACGAGGGGATTTTGGGGAGAGGATTTACAATAGGATTGGTGATTTTTACAGGTTGGGATTGGGGAGAGAATTTGTACTAAGAGGAGGAATTTGAGGAGAGAGTTTGATTTTTTGGCCATGGAAGATTTGTGGGAAATTGGGGGGGATTTGAGTTGGAAGGTGGGATTGGGGTGCAAAGATTTTTGCTGGGAGGAGGACTTGGACTGTGAGGATGGGGAATTTTTGCATTTTTGGCTGGGTAGAATTTTAGCTTGCTCAGGGGGTGAACGTGTTGCTGCTTAGTACTGTTTTTTTTTGGAGGGAGGGGTGGAAGGTGGGGGCACTAAATGATCTTGTCTTGGCACTGCCCGCTTGCACAAAAGACACTTAACAGATCTTCTCCTCCCCACATAACATGTAGCTGAGATCAGATTCCCTAACACAATGTGTAGCTGGCTGCAGCTGCCGTTCTGACTAGTGAAACTCCCTGATTGGTTTGACAGCTGCAATAGCCAGCTACACAGCTCTTAAGTGCCCTGCCAGCAGTGACCCTGTCCTCAACTCTGCTGACCAGTGTTCTGCCATGCTGACCCCTGTACCCTGCCCTGCTAAACCCTGTCCTCTGTCCTGTTGACCCTGTCCTCTGCCATGCTAACCACTGCATACTGACTAGATAAACCACTGTACACTGACTTACAAACTAATGGCCTCTGTACACTACCCTACAAACTGCTGACCCTATCCTCTGCCCTGCTGACCTCTTATACACTGAACTGTCATCCACTCATCCTCTGCCCCCCTGACAGTTTTCACTGCACCCCCCATATCAGAAAGGCTAGATCCGGCCCTGCATAATACACACACTTGTTAGGCACACACTTAACCCCTTGTTTACCCTGAGATGTTAACCCCTTCCCAGCCTGGGTTATTAATGAAGTGACAGTGTATAGTATTATCCCTGATCAGTGTATTAGTGTCACTGTGATGTCATTGTCAGTTAGTTTCCACCCAGTTTTAGTTAGTGTCCGATGGCCCAATACACACACTCCCACTATAAGTTGCTGATCACCTCCGTTAGTAGTATAAAAAAAAATAAATTCCCAGTATATATACAATAGTTTGCAGTCTCTATATCTTTTACACAAACCATTTTTTTATGTTTTATAGCAGAAAGTAAAATTTTTTTTTCTAATTTTCAGTCTTTTTTCTTTATAAAATGAAAACATAACCAGTGATGATCAAATGTCACCAAAAGAAAGCTCTGTTTCTGTGAAAAAATGTATACATTTCATTTGGATACAGTGTTGCATGACTACGCAATTACCAGTTAAAGTAGTGCAGTACTAAATAGCCAACAAATAGACTGGTCATACAGGGGGTAAAACCTGGAGCTGTAGTGGTTAACTAACAAATTACAGCCGACTGCAGCTAACACTTTTTAGGCAGTTATAGGAACATTTTTTCCATAAATAAATAAAAGCTGACTATTGTAGGCACCTCTGTCAATAGCTTTTGCTGAGCAGCTTTGTCTCTTAAGGGAAGTTGAAAAATAATACATTTACAGTACTGGCCAGATCGGCAGGTGGAAAAAAATATAAAGGAAAACAAAAACTATAAAAGGAAACTAATGCAGTCACCACATTTAAGGTTTGCTAAGAGGCAATATATTACATTTTCTATTTTGAGTTTTAAGGAAAATAGACAAATGGAAATAGCTTAGTTGCTTGCTATGCTCAGCACAGAACCTTTTATTTTAGACAATACATTTCAGTTTATTCCTCAAGAAAGAGCAATGACGTGCAACTGTGAAAACCACATTTAAACTTTAATCTGGCTTAAAGTAGCTATAATAGAAAAATAGATTCTGAATGGTTGCTACGGCTTATTACACTTTGCATGTTGCTCTTCGGTTATTCATATTCATGGCGGCATTCTGTTATTATTCACACAAAATGACTATCTTATAAGCCTTTATCTTCTTCTCTTATAGGACTTATGTATTTCTCAATTCTAAAACTTGTCAGTAATTTCTAAATATGTTTGCTTCTTCTAGGCAATCAGTCCTGTACCATGGCACCCAACTATAATTGATGTTCAGATAATTACTATTGGATCTTTGGCTATAGTTCCTGTTCCTGGAGAGTTTACGTAAGTTTAAATAAAGTCTGATCCGAAATACTAGGAAATAAATGATTTCCATTTACCTGATGAGTCATTTTGCCCTTTACCTTTTTCTTTATAGAACCATGTCTGGAAGAAGACTAAGAGAAGCTGTGAAACAGGTGTGTAGGTTACATTTACAATGTTCACAGCTAAATTGTTTTAACAACTTGTGAAAAGCATGTGTAGACAATGACAATTAAAGTAAATGTGAACCCTCACATTGTAAAACAACCTATTCAGTTTAAAACAGAAAGGAAAGGCAAAACATTTTGGGAAACATAAAAAAAATGATAAATACCTTTACTCCTCACACACTCTATTCTGAGCTATATAAGGAACTTAGAGAGCTAGGGGAGGAGAATCAGAAGCACACTGGTCTTCCCGATGAATGGCTGCAAGAGGGGTGGAGACTGATCACTGGAGGAGAGCAGGCAGAGTTCTCAGCACTGCTAGAAAACTGACCACACTGTACTTTCCTGCCTACTGTGGTCAGTTTTTAATAGGAAAGCAGAGTAACTAGCAGGGACAATACCAAACAATTCCTCGCAAAGGAAGCAATACAAAGAGAACAGAATACATTGGGAGTTATTTACTAAAACCTCAGAGTGCAGCTCTGCAAAGAAACCAATCAGCTTCCAGGTTTTATTGTCAAATCTACAAGCTAAAGTTATATATAATAATAATAAAAAAATACATATATATACATATATATATATATACATATTTTAAGCAGGTGAAACCCACAACAAAAATGACAGGTGACGCTCAAGGCTCCACTAGGACTTCTTTCATGACAAACCGCTAGAAGTGTTCACAAGCACAGAACTTGCCCCAGCTCAAATCATCTAGTAGGGAAAGGAAGTCCTAAAAGTCTCACATCACAGCAAAACCCTGTAAGGAAGTGTATGACAGTCTCAGCCTGGGCTCCAACCAGGCAATGCCCGCAACGTGTTTCACTCCATCACCAGAGCTCTAGGGTCAGAGTGAAGCACTACTAGGTATGCGAAAATTCTGTAACGTAAGAACGCTTTCAAAAATATATATTTTAATAGTTTATTTTTATCAATTTACAAAATGCAAAGTGAGTGAATCGGAGAAAAATGTAAATCTAATTTACGCCAAAATGTATTCTGCGACATGTCTTTGCTGAAAAAAATCCCAATACATGTAAATGAATTGGTTTACATGAAAGTTATAGTGTTTACAAATGGCGGTATATATACTGAGATATTTTTTTTCCAATTTTTACTAGTAATGGCGGTGATCAGAAACTTATAGCTGGACTGCGGCGGACATTCTGACACTGGGGGGAACTGACTTGGTGTCACTGACATCTCCAGTGACACCAATACCAATAAAGGGTTAACTGTGTGTAGGAAGTGCTTTACTATGGGGCGGTGTCTGTGTGCTTCACTGTAAGCACACTGTTTTGGATGGCTGTGCTGTGCACAGCTATCCAAAGCAGTGTGCCCAAACTGACAGGGAGGAGAAATGTTAGTAAACAAAACAGTTCTCCTCCCCGTCGAAAGATCTTCGGAAATCACTGGGCGCCGGTGAGTAATTACCGGCCGGGACCTGGTGATTGCATGCTGCGACCGTGAACGGCGGCGTGGGTAGGGCCGGCAGGGAATCACCGATGAGGACCCGGTGACTGACAAACGAATAGCAGTGTGGGTAGTGTGCGCACACCCCACCCTGCCCAAAAATGCAAAATCACGTATATATACGTGACTTTGCGCACGCCGTGCTGCGCTGTAGCAGTATTTCTGTTATAGGGCGGGAAGCGGGCTAAGTTATCCAGTAAAGGGTAAATCTACAATCTCTCTACTATATTTGTGCTTACAAATTTTGTTACAAAAAAGCAGTCCTAAAAATGACAGTTAGTAAATACATACATGTTATTTTGAGGAACGTGTCCAAAGGGGTTCTCACTAATTTTTGCATGTTAGCATCTCATGTACATAGAGATATGCAGTCTAACATAACTGTCCCATGTGCCTTTAGCAGTGTCCAGAACCTCTTGAGGTTACTTGTTCTAATTAATTATGCTCACTTTAAGCCTGTCTTGCTTTCATAGGAACTGGATCTATCTAATTCTATGAACACTGATGTGGTTATTTCGGGACTTAGTAATGTATATACACATTACGTTGCAACCTTTGAGGAGTATCAGGTAAGCAGAGGAGGACATCTGGAGACAGAATGGCATTTAACTTTGAAATTAAACATAAATGCTGTACTTTATGTGACCTTTTATGATTAATACTGTATAAGCAGCAATGGTATGAAGTGCAGGAATCTAATTTACTACTGTGATATGTTGAAGCATTAGATCATCACAGTTAGTATACAGTATTCTAAATACTATTCTCAAGATTCTTCTGCTTTTCGTCACAGTATTAAAAATGTCAAAAGGAAAATTATATCTGAAGACTTTAAGGATATTTAATTTTAACTTTAAAGAGGACTTATCTTAAGAGCAAGTTTACATTTGAAAAAGGGAGCCCCCAACCCCCCCCCCCCCCCAACCATATTTGGTCAATGACATCACCCAGGATCCCCGACACTGCTGTTTACATTTCAGCAGCATCAGGTTTCGGTCAGTCGAGACAGGAGTAGCCCAAAGTCAACATCATTGTGGCGTCAGTTTAAAATCGTGGAGCGCCGCTGATCATGATTGATGTCTATTTTGCTGGATGATGTGATTGACCTTAGATTTACATGGAGGGTTATTTCATAGTTACATGGTTGGTAAGAATAAGTTGGTTGAATAAAGACAACTGTCCTTCAGTTCAACCTGTGAGTGTGTGTGTGTGTGCATGCTTGTGTCACTATCATTTTCCCATATCCCTGAATATTACTTTTGCTAACATGCTCATCTAAATGTTTTTTGAAATTATCAACACTGAACCTACCATATATGGAAGGGAGTTCCACATCCTTTAAAAATTACCAAACACTTGTGAGCTACTATTACATTAAAAGAAATATAAAAAAATAATTAAAAAATAATGATAATAATAACCATTATCTGTATATGGAATCCCACACTATTCACATCCTCATATCTGATGTGTTGAAATGTTATGAAATCAATATCCACCAGTGCCGCGCTTCTCTTAATATAAAACCATCAAGTTAAATATGTACTTCCAAAAATCATATAAACCATCCAAAAAGTTCCATAATTGTGCAGTCCAACACAAAGTCCTAACATATATCTTCTGTGCTTCACAATTGTGTTATAAACCTCCTTTTACTTCTTCATTCCTTATCATCACCTCTTATGTGCCAAAATTGCTGTTGTAAATGAAACCCACCAGTGGATGTGCTCTCACCTATCGGGTATATGACCAAACCGCTAAGACAGGTCATATAATGCTTGCGGCCTCTCTCACAGGACTAATGTAATGATTCCTCAACCTATGAGATGATTCCACTTCTCAAATGATTATGCACTGCTTCTTAATACTTCCTGCATTCCACACATCATTCCTCCTCATCCATACATGTAGAAAGAGAAATCGCCATACATAGCGTTTTAGCCACATAGAAGCTTTATTTACCATAAAAACAAAAACTCCCAGTATTGCACTCACATGTAATTAGTGCTTTAGCGCACCACACTGTTCTACACAATATGCAAACAGAGATCACATTGATATAGTTTTCTCTAATGTTTAATTACCAGACACCATCAAAGGATTACAAGCATCATGAGATCAGCAAGCCCCTCCCCTATGCGTTCATGTATTCATATTTTTAGCCCCCAGATGTATGACTTTACATTTTTAAATATTAAACCTCATTTGCCATGTATGTTGTAGTTGCCTACCTCTTTATTTTATTGAGGTCTTCTTGTAAAGTTGCTACATCCTGTTGTGAAGTTATTACCCTGTTTAGCTTTGTATCATCAGCAAAAACTGAGTTTTGAACTATTTACACCAACCTCAATTTCATTTATGAGCAAATTAAACAGAATTAGCCCCAGGACAGAGCCTTGGGGCAAGGGCGTCCCTAGGGTTGGTGCAGTGTTTCTCAACTCCAGTCCTCATGGACCCCCAACAGGTCATGTTTTCAGGATTTCCCTCAGATGAAACAGCTGTGGTAATTACTAAGGCAGTGAAACTGATCAAATCACCTGTGCAAAATAATGGAAATCCTGAAAACATGACCTGTTGGGGGTCCATGAGGATTGGAGTTGAGAAACACTGGGTTGGTGTAACCTGTGCGATAACACTTGGTGACACCCCCTCCGGCGATCCCCGCAGAATGGATCGGATCTGAGGATTGAGCATAATGGATAGGACTCTGATCCATTATGCTCAATCCGCAGATCCGATCCATTGTGTGGGGATCGTCAGCTTGCTTTACAACTTACCTTTTCATGGAGTGGGTCGGTGTCACCCCATGCGGTAGGTGTCACCCGGTTGTGTCGCGCACCCCCCGCACCTGCCTAGGGACGCCCCTGCCTTGGGGTACCCTGGTTAGAACCCCAGACCATCCAGAAAATACACTATTTATCACAACCCTCTGGATGCGTTCCTGTAACTAGTTTTCTATCCAGGCACTTACACTATTGTTTTATCCAACAGACTTCAGTTTGTAAATTAAGCATTTATGGGGTACTGTACCAAATGCTTTGGCGAAATCCAGATACACCACATGCACAGCTCTTCATTTATCCAGATTACAGGTCACCTCCTCATAAAATGTTAACATGTTGGTCTGGTAAGAATGATCTTTTATTTAACCATGCTGGTTACTATTAAATTCTTGATTTGGTCCCTTATTATTCCCTCCAATAGTTTACTTACTATTGATGTTAGGCTGGCTGGTCTTTAGTTTACAGGTATATACCTCGGCCCTTTTTGGAATATTTGAACCAAAATAGCTTTTATCCAATCTGCTGGTACCATTCCAGTAAGTAAAACTGTCCTTAAAAGAGATGTATGGGCTTTTTTCTCCCCAATTATACTTACCTAGGTCTGTCCCCCACCAGCTCTAAGTGTGAGAACTCAGCGATCACATTACCACTGATCGCTGAGTTCTCACTGCCGCTTCTTAGCAGAGAGTGGTGACTGTCCATCACCACTGTCTGCTCTGCCACCCTCCCCCACACTCACTGGAGCAGTGGGCTGTGAAGGGAGCGGCTGGCTCAGGCTCGCTGAGAGACAGGGAGGTAGGCGCATCCTCGCTACCCCCCATTTTCTTTGCAATGAGTGTGAATGACTTGATAAGGGTCTATTATGAACTTTTACTTAACCCTAAACATTTTTGTTTTTTACAGGGACAATCCACATTGCTTACAAAAATGGGTACTGTTCTTTAAAAGAAAAACAAAAAACACACAAAAAAAAAAAATTAAAAAAATAAATGGTGTAGGGTTCCTCTTTCATTTTACACCAGACATTTATCTAGGCATGCAGCCTGAGTGAGCTAAACTATACCAGGACACATACCCTCAACTTTGGGAAGGTACCTTGCATGATACTGTGGCCAAGCCTCCCCCCTTGCAAGGAACTCTGCCCTCATATCCTGTCCCCCAAAAGAGATGTGGGGTCTTTTGGGGGAGAGACTTATCAGAATTTTCAGTAACAGATCCCTTGGTTTTTTGACAACCACAAGATGTCTTGGATCTGTCATTTGGTCATTTGGCAGCAGTACTGCTACTAAATGACAGATCCCCAGCCCCTGTTGGTACAAACAAAGTCTTTTAAAAAGCAGTACATCCTACTTCAACTGTAGGATTAAGAACAGTTGTGTGTTTTTTTTTTTTTTGCATCTGTATCCCCCAGTGGCATTGCCCAGCTATAAATGCCTTTTTAACAAACGTTTGCAGATTGGATTTAAAAAAATAACAAGATTTAATTGGATTTTGGAGCTGTGTTTGGGTTCGAACTTTGCCTGGTTCTCTCATCCCTAAATATAACTGATATAAAATGTGGATGAGGGAAAGCAATATCTCCAGGGTAACAACGATACCTACTTTTCTACAAAATAATAAATGTTCCAGCATGAAAGTGTCTTCTATCTCACAGATGTTATAATTCTTCCACTGCTGATTGAATAAAGGAAAAAGATAGGCATTAATATGCCATCAAAGATCAAACAAACCACTTACTGTATATCACAGGTTTTTTCACACTGCTATTCAATGCACCATTTTGTATCAAATCCATCAAGCCACAATAGTCAAGCTCTTAGTGTGTTAAAGTGTATAACATTTTTATCAAAGTATTTTAAAGGCAGGTTATTAATAAATAAAATGATATAATCTGACACAGTTTTTTTTACAATAGCATTCAATATACTATTCCTATAGTACTGATGATTAGTTCACTGTGATGTAAGGGGTCCATATATAAACCCCAAACAGGATTTTAAAATGGGTGTAAAATGTTATATATTATGGAAACCTGTGTCAGATTATATACATTTAATAAAGAAGCAATCATGTTTACTAGTCTGATCTACCATACAGGACTCAGAAATAAGTGCTGCACAACTTCATAATCTCTTATATGCATGTATTTATTAAGTAGAAGTGTAGTTTTTTTAAAAGTATGTTTCACTCCAGGACATGATAACATAAATTGATTTCTTGATTTTATGTGCATGGAAAATTAAACAGTAAACCGATTTTTGAAGACTGAAGTTTGACCTGCAAATGTGAACATGGAAATTATTTTCTTTAATGTATGAATATAATTTATCACTGATTGTTGATCTGCAGAATCCTAATGCCCAGGTTCACTCTGCTTCTAATAACAAATGAAAGAACTAAATACATTCTATTTTCTCATTCCAGGCGCAAAGGTATGAGGCTGCATCTACTATTTATGGGCCTCATACACTGTCTGCATACCTGCAACTGTACCGAGGGCTGGCCAAAGCAATTGCAGAGGTAATTGAAACTACTGTTAAGGGGCAATTAAATGATAAGTTCACTTTAAAAAAAAAAAAAAAATCCAGCTCCCCTATGTACCAATATAGCATGAATCTACTTCTTTTGCAGAAATTCAAAAGCTTTCCATTTTTTCTACCCAGCTTTATCTCAGTGTCCAGATGGCTGTCCAAAAAGCAGATTTGCCTTCAACTTTGTAGTGCACGAGCCTGCCTAATTGGATACAATTGAAAGTGTTGTTAGGTTTGACCTATTATATGGCTTTTGGTAAATCTAAACCCAAAATCTCAAGAAAATTGTATAGTGTATGGCCAGCCTTACTTCGGGAAAGACTTTACATCATGACACAAAAAGGAATTGACCAGCTGACCTCATTAGCACACCCCCTGCATCATCTGGCCTCCTACCTCCCACTCACTTCCAGGTGCACGGATATTAAATGAAAAGCAATCAATCAGTGATCACTGTTCTCTCTAAATACACAGACATCGATTTATATTTGTCTACCTTAACTTTAATCTTATACACATCATTAATTTGGCAGAGTGTGCTAAGTGAACAAATAACAGCCTATGTGGATAGAACTGTAGTATTGAAAACAGGAGAATTGTGTTCTGGGTTCTATAAAGTTCACATTTGATTGTACAATCTCCTTTAGATCTACCATCAACTTCCCGATATGTAGTGCAAGGGCCTGTCTGAATGGATACAGAGTGATTGGGTAGATAGGTGAAAAACTATTCTATAGTTCTGGTAAATCTAAAGGAAATTGTACAGAGATTGTACAATCAGATAGCATAGGGTATGGCCATCTTTCTACAAGTACATAGGAGGGAGTGGATGGAGACACTCAGCTGTCGAGCCCCTATCACATCTCTGCTTAGCAGGAACTCACATTCCTGCATGCAATTTTTTTTTTTGGGGGGGGGGGGGGGGGATTTTGGAGCATTTTTGCTTGTCATACATAGGGCATCTCATCCACTTGAATGGGCTGCTGTACGCACAATAATCGTCCCAAAGAAGATCCAGAACTTTATTTTAAGAGTGGAGTATGGTGCTTTTCTTACTGTTATTTTTGGTGCAGTGCATTTCTGAAATGCAAGGCTAAGTGAGAATTTTCTGTGCAGTTTGCCATGCTTTTGGGAACACACAGATGTGAGATGGGGAAACAGCTCTCATTGTTTGAACACTGTGTGGAAGTAAATTAATGTTTTGACTGACATTCTGCAGTTTAGCCACAAGATGTCACTGTTTTTCTAACACAGGCTCAGACTGCATATATATTTGTATATTCATGAAGAGGTGGGGTTTTGCACTGAGAGTTGGAGTTTAGTGAACAGGAAGAGGAGACTGCAGCCATGTTTTGGACGATGCTGAAGGAAGGGGCCGTGTGAGCTGAGAATCTGATGACATCCAGGTGTGAATGCGTCCCTCAGTAACCAGAGCTGCAGCTGAGTGAAGCTGATGAGATTGCTGCCAGGAAGCTGATGAGATTGCTGCCAGGAATGCTGATGAGATTGCTGCCAGGAAGGCTGATAAGATCAGAGGAACTAAGCAACATATTGTCAAGGTCCTACCTTTTCCCAGAGACTGTGCGGCTTCATGTACTGGCGTCCATCTTGGGTTTCTGCAGAGCATGGTGGGAGTCTTTTATGCCTTCAGGTCTCTGAGATCCATTACCCAGAGGGGTGTGGCTGAGTACATATAAGCCTGTGATCCGCACATGCTCTTTGCACTTGTGTCTTGTGTCTTTGTCTTGCCAGAGCTCTGTGTATACTCTCGTGACTCTTCTGGTATCTGACTCGGCTTGTGACTAGACCATTCTCTGTGTTTTCCTTTGATCTGACCTTCCGTTGCTGAACCCGGCCCATGACCTGTGATTCTCTGTCTACTGTTCTGTACCGTTTTGTCCCGTTGTTGTCGACCTGACCTGCCTGACTACGCTATTCTCATTCTTACCAGCTACACGCCATTGGCGGAGGCCATTACCGCAGTCAGGGTGTCTCGGGGGCCGCGACCTGGTTCCTGGCTGCGTCAAGTCCATCCCCACCATCAGGGGCCCTGGTGAAGGGCAGCCTGGGACTTAGACTCCGCGCCTTGAGGGACTTCGGTCTGTTGGTGGTGGTTGTCGTCAGTCAGTGCGTTACCCTGCCACTAGGCCTACCTGTCTGTTCCACAGCCCTGCCCTGACACATATACGGCGAGACCGCATGCCTGTTGGAGAGACATTTGTTCTGTTCAGAGTCACCAGCGGATGAAAAGCAGACCCGGGTCGGTAAGATCGTGCATGCACCTCATTTCAGTGTTGGTGCCTTAAGACTGAGTCCAGGTCTATAGTTAGTTAGTTAGGGTCTCTGTTTGTGTCAGGCCACAAGTGTTGTTACTGATCATTGGAAGGACTCCACAACTTAAAGTGACATTTCACATTGGAGAGCTGATAAAATCCTGCAAACTCAAGCCAGACTGGCATTTTGCTCAGAAGGAATACTCAGGCACGTGCTACAGGACCAGTTATGGGAGAGGGAATACTGTAGACTTGTGTAAGATTGTAAGCTGTTCCTGATTCCTGCTCTTTTAGGGTAATAACAGGTAGGGTGTGGCAGCTTATTTGTGCCCGCCAGTAGGTAAATTACTTCACTTTCTACCTTCATCCATCAGAAGGCGCCGTGCTGTGCAGCACAAGGGTCTCAGCCTTTGGGCTGGGTGTATGTAAATGTATTGTATGTTTCCAGCATTTGTGGTTGTGTTTATTTGCCACATCTGAGTAAAATTCTGTTGTGGCAAAAGCAGGTGTTAGGGTTGCATTCCTCGTTTGTGACTTCACTGTATTCTGGGGAGCCCACCCCAGTGCACGGCTCACACAGATGTAAATGGAGCCTCATTCTTCTGTGTAAGCACAGCAATTTCACTTTCAGGCCCCATTCACGTCTAGCATAATGGGAGCGTTTTTTGGCTTGTTTTACCTGTGACACACATAGGGCAGGCAATGGATTTCAATGGGCTGTGCTACATGCGGCTCATGGAACATTTTGGCATGATGTGGGTTGCACGTTTTGTAATATGAATTTTGTTGCATTTGCCACTTGTTTTTCACATGGAAAAATGTGTTTGTTTCTGTGTTAACAATTAATGGCACTAAAAGTGCAACTAGTTAATTTTAGGTGTATAAAGGTGGCCATACACAATGCAATCTGACTGTAAGGTAGAAAAATAAAAATCGATGTCTGTGTATTTAGTGAGCGCAGTGATTACTGATTGCATTTCAATATTCGTGGACCTAGAAGTGGGTGGGACATAGGAGGGTAGATGATGCAGGGGGTGTGCTAATGAGGTCAGCTTGTCAATTCCTCCCTGTTTCATGACCTAATGTCTCTCCCAGAAGTAAGGCAGAAGTAATGGAGAAGCTTTTTGGAGAGCCATCTGGACACTGAAATAAAGCAGGATAGAAAAAATGGAAAGCTTTTGAATCTCTGCAAAAGAAGTAGACTAATGCTACGAAATGAAATGAAAGGAGTTTTTTTTATTCTCCACATGTCTACCTGCCCAGGGGCGGACTGACAACTCATGGGGCCCCCGGACAATAGGGGATCATGGGGCCCCTGTGTCCTTGCCCAAACTCAAAAAAAGCCTATGAAAAAGGTACCAGGGGCATCTCATGGGGCCCCCTACTGACCCCGGGCCCTCGGGCAGTGCTCGAGTTTCCAAATGGTCAGTCCGCCCCTGTACCTGCCACATCTGATGAGTTGCTCACTTCCTGGTGGGGTGATCCTGGGGACTGCAGCCTGGCACTAGCGAAACCCATCTCCACTATCAGGAACTCTGGTGAAGACTGGTTAGTGCTGACTGTAGACCCCATGTCTCGGGTGAGCCTGCATCACCTGCCAATGGAATCTTTGTGTGTATGTATCCTGCTGGTTTCTTCGTGAGCCTTTCCACTATATAATGCTATATTGGTACATAGGGGAGCTGGAATTTGGAAAAAAAAATTTAAGTCATCCTTTAAAACAAAACCAATATGGGTTGGCACTATGTGGCATAAAGTGATATTATATAAGCATTTTGTTTTTTTTATAGAATAGTTGACAGTAAAAACCTCTGTTTTTTGGTGGTGTCCCTTTTTCTCTCTCCTGCTGACCATAGTAACTGGGAAAAAAAAATGTAAAAACCAAACTTTTGCAGTCATCATTACAGGTGAAAAGAAATCTTCCTATAGGGTATGTGATAGGTTCACTTTTATATTCTGCTCTTTAAACCCTCAGGGACTTCAGTGATCTCATGCTGGAGTTCCTGGTTCTGACCCTCTATGATGGAGTCTAATTTTGTCTTTTGCAGTAGAAGGTGTATTCTTTATCTTCCTTTCTCAATGATATAAACTGTTAAAAAAAGTCCAGAAGGAAAATTGCATAGATCTCACAGCCTAGGAATTTATTAGACAAAAGAAAATAACAGTTTGCTCAATCTGCCACTTTTTTAGGCATTTATTTTCTGTAAAACTGACCATTATTTTCAAGGTCTTCAGCTATAACTTTTACAGTATTATAAATTAATATTTTCTACAAAGGATGTGTGTTCCTCGTCAGACGTATTGAAGAAAAATAAGATAAAAAAATTGAATTTTTGCCAGTTAAACCAATCAAATGTTTTCATCTTTTATTTTTCTCAGAATCATTGCTAACTAGAACCCTACAGTAGACCACAGGTCTCCAAACTTTGTAAATGAAGGGCCAGTTACTGTTCTTCAGACTTTAGGGGGCCAGATTGTGACCAGTAGGGGTTGAAAATATCCTGGATTCAATAGAAATAAACAACACCTCAGGCTGGTCAGTGGGAGTATAGAAGGAACATAGCACCTGTATCAGTAGAAGGAACAGTGCCCCATCACTGATATCATGTTGGAGGAACTGTGCCCCATCGCCGATGTCAGTAGCAGGAATTATGCCCCACTCTTGGGGTCAAGGGAATAAAAGTGCCCCAAGGGATAAATAAAGACTAGTAAGAGGCCACATTTTTCCATAGCCCCCAGTTTGGAGACCACTGCAGTAGACAGTACATGTTCTTTTTTCCCCCTTATGACTGAGCTCCAAGAAATTATCACGCAATGTGACAAAACACTAGTGGAAGCAATTAAAGACATCCACACTGAAGATGATCTGTTTTTCTTCATACATTTTGTTGCAGAACACTGTTGGTGAATTACCTAAAGGACCGCAGCCACCATTTTTCAATGAGTCAGAACTTTTTAGCTTCTTAGGCACTGTTCTTCCAGATAAAGCCCCAGGAAATACAACCTTTGGAGACGTTTTAGAGGAAGTGAATCCTCAGTATCTGGCAGTAAGTAATATTATTGTAAAAAAAATAAGAATTTATTTTTAATGTGTTCTCTGTTAGGTTGACATAGCTTTTGATTAAAGAGGATGCTATGTTTGTCTGTTAAAGAAGAATTAAAGTAGTACAGGAGGTTCATCAACAATTTCTGCTTTATAAAGTAAGGATGGACATTGCCTTCAGTGGGTGTATGGTTATACAGACATGATCTGACCACCATCAAGCTAGAGGGAAGGTCACAAACCTGCCAGCTTGGGTGTGTCTAACCTTCATGGCCAATTATTCCTTCTAAGCATTGGTGTCTTTCCCTCCCAAAGATATGACATTTGTACAAAAAGATAGAAACTCTTTACAGAGCCTATATAAACAGGAGAAAAAGTGGAATACCTTTATTCTCTAATATATATTTTTAGTGTTTTTACTCAAGACAAATGTGAAAGAAATGACAGAGAATGGGGGAGATAGAGAAAATACATAAAGACGTGACAGCAAGTCTTGGCCAGGACAATAAGCAAACCTGGACCTTGGAACTTAGCGACCATCATGTTATAGAGGCAAAAGTAGTGCATATATCTCTTCAGAGTTCAAAAGTAGACCACTGGTAAATTACAACAGAATTAATTTAAATAATTAGGACAAAGAAAGGTGAGTTTGGAAAAATGAATCTAGCAACAATCGGAGTGCATGTTACACAAATACTGCTGCAAAATCATGTAGACAGGCTGAATAATGGTGCTTTGCTTTGTTATGTGTTTGCGACATACAGCATATACAAAATGTGGAAATTATGAAGGTTGTTTACTAAAATGGAAAAATGCAAAATCTGGTGCAGCTCTGCAAAGAAAACAGTTTCTAGGTTTTACTATCAAAGCTTAAAGCGATATTAAAGGCAATTTTTTTTGTTTTAAAATAACAAACATGCTATACTTACCTGCTCTGTGTAGTGATTTTACACAGTGCAGCCTTGATCCTCCTCTTCTCGGGTTCCTCTACCAGCGCTCATGGCCCCTCCATCCTGTCCAGTGCCCCCAGTGCAAGCAATTTGTCATGAGGGCACCCAATCAAGCTCGTTCCAGAGCCTGCTTTGTGTGTCTATTCACATGCAGAGCCATGGCTCGGCCCCGCTCCCTTTTGCTCCTCATTGGCTCACTGGTTGTGATTGACAACAGCAGGAGCTAATGGCTCCCCACTGTTGTCTCAGCCAGTGAGGATGGAGAGACCTGAACAGCCAAGGCTCTCATGCACATTGCTGGTTCACGATGGGGCTCAGGTTAGTATTAGGGGGGCTGAGGAGATTGCTACAAACAGAAGGTTTTTTACCTTCATGCTTAGAAAGCATGAAGGTAATATACCTTGAGCCTTTACAACCACTTTAAAGTGGTTGTAAAGGCTCAAGGTAGAAATCCTTCCCCCAAGCCACCGCAATACTTACCTGAGCCTCGTATCAATCCAGGGATGTGCATGAGAGCCTCAGCTGTCCTGGGTTTCTCCTTCCTCATTGGCTGAGACAGCAGCCATTGGCTTCCGCTATTGTCAATCACAGCCAGTAAGCCAATAAGGAGAGAACGGGAGGCAGGGCAGAGCCGTGTCTGTGTGTGAATGGACACACAGACCAGTGACTTAGGAGCAAGCCTGTTCAGGTGCCCCCATAGCAAGCTTCTTACTGTGGGGGAACTTGGCAGGAGGGAGGGGCCAGGAACACTGATGGGGGACCCAAGAAGAGGAGGATCTGGGTTGGTCTGTGCAAAACCATGTCACAGAGCAGGAAAGTATGACATGTTTGTTATTTAGCCACCTCCTACCCGCTGTATAGGGAAATGATGGAGGGGCGGGATCTTGTTCTGGGAGGATGTTATATGACATCCTCCCACTCTATCTGCGCATCCGTGCTTCCCTAGGATACAGCGGATTACTGATCGTGGTAAAGAGTCGATGACGTAGCTGGTAAAGAGCTAATCACATGTAAATAGGAAATGCCAATTATGGGTAGTCCTCTCCTCACGCTGGCAGCATGGGAGGAGAGGAGAGCTGGTAAGTGGCATTCCTCGGAGGGAACATCTACTCTGATAATCAGGGACTGATCTTCGGTGCCCTGATTATCAGTGCAGCCCCCATCAGTGCTGCCTTTCAGTGCCCATCATTGGCGCCAATCAGTGCCCATCAATGCCAGATATCAATGCCCATCATAGCTGCCTTTCAGTACCCATTAGTGATGCCAGTCAGTGCCGCCTATCAGTGCCTCCTCATCAGTGCAGTCTATCAGTACCCATCAGTGACACCTCTCAGTGCCAGTCAGTGCCGCCTATCAGTGCCCATCACTGACGCATATCAGTGTCACCTATCAGTGCCAGTCAGTGCTGCCTATCAGTGTCCATCAGTGTTTCCTATCAGTGCCTATCAATGCCACATTTCAGTGCCCATCAGTGCTGCCTTTCAGTGCCCATCAGTGATGCTTGTCAATGCCCATCATTGCCGCCTGTCAGTGCCTCCTCAATAGTGCAGTCTATCAGTACCTATCAGTGCCAACTATCAGTACCAGTCAGTGCTGCTTATCAGTGCCACCTATTAATGCCAATCAGTGCCACATATCAGTGCCCATCAGTACTGGCTTTCAGTACCCATCAATGACGCCTGTCAGTACCCATCAGTGTTGCCTATCAGTGCCATCTATTAGTGCTGTCTATCAGCGCCGCCTATCAGTGCCCATCAGTACTGCCTATCAATGCAGCCTCATCAACATACAATAGTGAAGGAGAAAAATTACTAATTTACAAAATTTTTTAACAGAAACTAAGAAAAACTTTTTTTTTAAATTTTGTCTTTTTTTGGTTTGTTTAGCAAAAAATAAAAAAAAAACACCAGTGTTGATTAAATACCACCAAAAGAAAGCTCTGTCTAAAACAAATTATACAAATTTGGTTTGGATACAGTGTTGCATGACTGCGCAATTGTCATTCAAAGTGCGACAGTGCTAAAAGCTGACCTGGCCTGGGCAGGAAGGGGATGAAAGTGCCCAGTAGGCAAGTGGTAAAAAATACAATAACTTTAATTGAACAAGCTGGTTAGTAGCTGATTGGCTGTCATGCACAGCTGCACCAGATTCTGAGTGCACCAGTTTTAGTAAATCCCCCCCAATTGCTTTTATTGTGTTTTAAATGTATTCAGATTCTGTAAAAAGAAGTGCAAATAAAGTTACAAGTTTCTATGAATATGAATAGCCTGACATTTTATTTCAACATTATCCCTCTTAGTACAAATACTCCTTTTATGTTTCTAGTGTTTGGCCATGTGGATTCTTTTATTACTGAATTTCACTATTTTCTATATCATGCTATGCACAGGGTGAAGTAGCTTCAGTTACATTTGTTGCTGGGAACCCCAGGAATTCTGTGACATACATGGTAAGTGAGAATTAGCAGCACCCCAATGACAGGTTGAAGAATGTGATCCTAAATGTTGCTGACTGACATGGGTTCACTTCTCAGGAAATACATATATTCTCCAACTGCAATTTGTATCGAATCTGTGACATAATACCTCCATTTTATGTGCCCTGCTAATAATGGTCCTATGGATTTATTGTGCTGAATGTTGGCTTCTCACATATAAATATTTGCCTGTTTAAATCTTGCAGCAAGAAATACTGGGCCGGGCAGTATTATTTGTCACAGATTTCCATTATAATATTCCATAGGTCTGACATTCACAGTTTACATAAGGAGGCATATAACTAAACGTCATCTAAGTTTAACCATGTTCAAATTTGTTGTGTAGGTGTCTCTAAGTTTTAGACATGTGACTTTTTTTCTGATTTCTCACAATTCATTACTTCTTTGAGTTTTGTTTGTATTTTGTTGCAGTTTTTATGTGTTTTAATATTTGATCTTGCGTGTTACTACACTCTTATATGAATCTATTACCCTAGGTCAGTGGTGGGCAACCTTTTTTTTAGTAATTCATCCCCCATATAGTAATTCATCCCCCATATAGTAATTCATCCCCCCTATAGTAATTCATCCCCCATATAGTAATTCATTCCCCATATAGTAATTCATCCCCCATATAGTAATTCATCCCCCATAATAATTCATCATCCCCATAGTAATTCATCCCCCATATAGTAATTCATCCCCCATAGTAATTCATCCCCCATAGTAATTCATCCCCCATATAGTAATTCATCTCCCATAGTAATTCATCCCCCATATAGTAATTCATCCCCCCTATAGTAATTCATCCCCCATATAGTAATTAATTCCCCATATAGTAATTCATCCCCCATATAGTAATTCATCCCCCATAATAATTCATCCCCCATAGTAATTCATCCCCCATATAGTAATTCATCCCCCATAGTAATTCATCCCCCATATAGTAATTCATCCCCCCTATAGTAATTCATCCCCCCTATAGTAATTAATTCCCATATTTTGTCAATTCACTTACCTTTGCTCCGCGCGTTCCTCTCGCTGTGTTCCCGCACCGTTCCGGTCTTCAGGGCGGACTGTGAGAGAGAGGAGTTCATCACGCTGCCCGCCTACATCCTGACAGCCAATGTTTGCCACGCTCCGCGGGCCGGATTAAAAGGTCCGCCGGGCCGTATACGGCCCGCGGGCCGTAGTTTGCCCATTGCTGGGCTAGCTGCAGAGTCCTGACTTTTGGGGCGGCCGCCCGAGAGGAGGGAGGGGAACGGGCGCCCGGCACACAGAAGAGCCGCATTAGAGTGTGTAAAGAGCCGCATGTGGCTGGCGAGCCGCGGCTTGCCGACCACTGCCCTAGGTTCACACCTAAGCATTTTCTACAGCGTTTTGCAGAAGTGCAGTACAATCCATTTAACATGATTTCCTATAGGGCATGTTCACATCCCCATGTTTTCACCCAATGTGTTTTTTGGAAAGGGTCAGGAACTTTTTTTAACGCACAAAGTTGCGTTTTTGGTTCTGCAGACTTCAGTGGAAATGCTGCAGAAAAGCATGTAGTGTGTTTTTATAATGTGTTCTTGCCGCATTTTTAATGTGTTTTGTGTTTTAAAATCTGCCTAGCAACAAGAAAAAAAAAAAAAAGCATCAAAATTGTAGCAAAAACGCAATGCAAAATGCACTACAGAAATGGATCAACTGCAAATTGCATAGGTGTGAACCTAGCCTTAAGGTTTATCCCAAATTTTTAGCTTGTCTTGTCTGCTGTGCCCAGCATGGTTGCTCTGTTTTAGCATTGTGAAATGGCATTTAATGTATGTTAGTACCTTTTATTTTATTGAAATGGCTCTGAGTATTTTTTTTTAAGTATCTGAGTTTTTTTTTAATCTTTTTTTTTTTTTAATCTTACAGGCTGAGGATACTTACCTGAAAGTTGAAAAATATGAAAGTTAACAGGAACATGGCATACAGTTCATAATGATGCCTCATGGGAGACGAGGTGAGCTGTGTCTTCCACAGTGATGTTTTATTCCTTGCATTAAACTGAGTTCCTGTTATACCACAAATTTCACCTGAACTACTACAGTGAAACTAAAATTCTTCTGTAGATGAGGAACAGGACAATGTGTATTATGCGGTGACCAATAGTACTGCATTTTTTCAGATCTGATGACAGTGAACTAAACTTTGGTTGGTTTATATATTTTTATCATAAATTGCATATTGCTGTTATATAGAATATACCTCTATGTGCTAAGCGATTACTAGCCTACATCAAAAATAACATAAGGAACATTACTCCACTGTTTCATGGAATTCCATGGCTAGTACTGTAGTCCATAAACTTCTTGGCTGCCTGTACACATGGTATAGATAACGTCTGCCAGGAAAGGTGCACAATATGCAATTTTACAAAAAAGATAGACGCTGAAAGGAAAAGCTTATTTTTTTTCATCTATGGGGGAGATTTACTAACCCAGGAGCACTCAAAATCTGGTGCAGCTGTGCATGGTAGCCAATCAGCTTCTAACTTCAGTTTGTTCAATTTAACTTTGACAATAAAACCTGGAAGCTGGTTATCAAGCAAAGCTGCAGATTTTGCACGCTCCAGTTTTAGTATATCAAACCTTGTGTCTCAATAGGGAAATTTAATTTTACTTACTGCCCTATAGTCACAAGAAGTGAGTGGAAATCTCTCATTTCTCCAAAGTAGGGGAAATCCTTTCATAGACAGTTGTCAACACAACCAATATCCCAATTGAAAGATTTTTTTCTCTTCTTCCTGTTCTGGTGGCATCTCCAAATTTTTGATTTCCTCTCACTTTTAGTGTTGGTAACAATGAATACCAGGAAAAACAGAGTGCGGGAAACTCCCCATCTGGGACACAGACTACCATAAAACCTAACCCTGTCTTCTTCTCTTTGTTCAAGCCTAAAAAAAAATAGTTGGAATTTATGATACACTTTTGGTCAGTGTAAAGCAGTGTAGGACTGGGGCCTCGTGGTTAGAGGACAGTTACAGTTGTTCATTCCATATTATGGTATTACAGATTATCCAATACTGTGTACCATGCTGAAGCTTTTCTATAACCAGGATTATGGTAAAGACAAGAAAGATAGCCAGGTTAGGGATTGTGTAGGACCATCGTGAAATTAAAGCCAGCCATACATGAATCGAAATTCAGTTGAATCAGCAGGGATTGACTGAATTTCAATCCATGTATGGGCTAACTCAGGGGTGTCCAGCCTGCGGTCCATAACAGCTGTGAATGCGGCCCAACACAAATGCGTATACTTACTTAAACTGTTGATTTTTGGGGAATTTATTGTAAAAAATGCATTTACATTTAGCGAGCACATGAGGCCAAACAAAAAGTTTGACAGTGACTATTTACTGGAGTTTTATAAGTTTTATCTTCCCAAAGAAAAATCTCCAACTCTTCACAATCATGCCTTATTCATGTCATCAGTTTTCGGCCGCACCTATATTTGTAAACAACTGGAAGCGCACAAAGGGCCAAATTGGAACTAAAATTCTTTGAGAATTGCTATTGCATCCATCCAACCAGATATTGATGTGTTTTTTTTTTTTATCAAAAACAATGCCAAATATCACACTAGTTTTATGTTGCCCTCTTTAACTTTTACAATAAAAAATATTACAAAACAAATAACATTTTATTACTCAGGTACATTATCTATATCAGTGATCATTAACTTGTGATCTGCTCAACTTTTTCTGCTCATCAGCTATCCTTATTGTTAGTGTATTTTTTTGTGTGGCCCAAGACAATTCCTCTTCTTCCGGTGTTGCCCAGGAACATCTAAAAGTTGGACACCCCTGGGCTAGATGGTTGTACAAAAGTTTATCTATCAATCAACTTGTGTACAACCAGCTGGAAGCATTTTTCCTGAATGATAAGTATCATTGACTATGGCCAGCAACACTGATCATTGTGTTCTCACAGCAGGGAGAACTACCAGAATACAATTGCACAAGGAGTGCGATTTCCTCATCCACCTCAAATGTGTGGATGGGGGAATTGGCACATTTTTTTTTCATTCAACCTGCTGGCTGAATGAAAAAAATATAAGGGCTGCCTAAGTCACTTGAAATCTGCAATTGTTGTTTATTAGGGTCAAAAACATCTCCTAAAGTGTGATACTATGCATTGTGAGAGTTTTTAAAATTGGTCAACAAATAAGGCACAACTTGTTGGTAACAATGACAGCCCTTATTTGTAAAACCAACAGGGACAGTCATCCCCTTGCCAGTCCCCTCATGCCTTGAGCATCATGAGAATGGCTGGGTGGTCATAGACACGGCTTAGTTAGCCTGTGCAAAAGCATTTCTTTTGTCGAATAAAACACAAAATATTAGAAGTGTCTTTTTTTTTTTGTTACTATCTTCAGATCCCCAAGTTCAGCTTGTTTCCTCTTATGAGCACAATTTTTGCTCACTGGTTTGTACAAAAAGTTCTGCAAATTTGCACATACTGCAAAACGTCTATGCACAATGGCATGATTTTTCATCTTTTGTTTCTTCAGCACTCAATTATTGCAGATGGAATTCATTGAAACAATGAGTCAGTGAGTGTAGTAATATTTAAAATACAATAGATCAATCACATTTAAAGATCAAATCATAGAAAGCTGAATTCTGATGTTCTATGGGTTGCTGTGCATAGTACACTGTCCATTGAAAAATTAGGAACGTTTATAAAAAGATTTCTTGCTATTTTCTGTTACAAATATGTAAAATCAACTTTAGAGTGAAAGATATGTCTCGCCATGTAGAGACAACTGCATCCTGTATAAAGTCTGTATCTAGTCTCAGCACAAAATACTGTATAAATGTCTCTTATAATATGCATGGTATATTGATAATTATTCATAATAAGCATCTATTTCATATTTTTACAGATATTATTGGCATAAAGGGACTGGTAGTCAAAGCAATGCTACAATTGAGTGGCACATACCTCTCTCAGCTGAACCAGGAACCTACAGGATTCGTCATTTTGGTCATTATAAAGAGAGACTCATACCTTCTACCATAAAGCCATATGAAGGCATTCATCTCAGTTTGAGATCCAAAAGCTTTAATTAATGTCCATGTTAGATTGTTTGGTTTACAAATAAGGCTGTATATTTTATTGATTCAGGAAGATGGAGCAGTCCTGCTATAAACAGACGTTCCATTTAATAAAATATCCTATAAGTGATATGAGCTTATATCTGACTTTTCTTAAAGCAATACTAAAGGTTCATTTTTTTGTGTAAAATAATAAACATGCTATACTTACATACTATGTTTTGCTTAGAGCAGCCTGGATACTCCTCTTCTCAGGTCCCCTGCCGACACTCCTGTCTCCTTCTTTCTGTCGGGTGCCTCCATAGCAAGCAACTTGCTATGGGGGCACCCGAGCAGGCTGTTCCCAAGCCAATGCTCCAAATGTCCATTCACACACACAGCCGTGGCTTGGCTACACCCCCTCTCTCTCTCCTCATTGGCTGACTGGCTGTGATTGAAAGCAGCAGTAGCCAATGGCTCTCGCTTGCTGTCTCAGTGACCTGGGACAGCCGAGGCTGTTGTGCACATCAATGGATCACGATGGGGCTCAGGTAAGTAATGAAAGGGCTGGGGGCACTGATGCACACAGAAGGTTTACAACCACTTTAAACTTTAAAACAAACATGATATCTGTCATAAGATTAGGAATGGTTTGATGTTTTCAATCTTGATGAGATAACAAAATGCTATCTTCTGTCCCATTATGAATGTAGGTATAGCCTATTTGCTGATAACCATCTTGTTAAAGACCAGAAATAGCCCATAACCTGAACACTGATAGAGAAGGATTCATTGCTTTCATAAAGCAAGTATAATGTAAATCTTTGCTGTACTAGAATGGTTTACTGTTATACATACTGTATGTGTTATAAGTACATATGGTTACTCGGATTTAACATTTGCCAGCCCTTTATTTTTAATGACTAAAAAAATCATAAATATGGACTAGGTCAGAGTCTCATTTCTTGTTGCAGCTTCAAGATAGATGGGTTTTAGAGGGAAGTAAATGTAAAAGGGTTCTAAATTTAGATAGAGAGGCTATTTTTATATATTGCAATAAATAAGGTATGATCTGTCCCTTAATAATCTCAGCATGCTTTGGTGCAACATGAAAGTAGTTTTAGCGGCACAGTGATATATAGCAGATTTGCTTTCTCAGTGTCCCAGATTCCTGGCTATCTGTCTTTTTGCTTAATGTGGTCATCAAATGAAATTAAAAATATGTGTACTTTGTTACTGTAAGGCTAGACGATAATGGACATGAATTAACTTTAGTTAATTAACAATTTATATTACCTTTCTAAACTTTTTTACTCTGGAGGAATCTTTGAAATATGTTTCAGGTCTCAGGGACCCTTCACTGAAAATTATCATACCCACAGCTCACGGTACATTAGTGTGACCAGTTTTTAATTAAAGAATAAAGAACTGGATGTACGTACCCTCATCATGGAATGATTTTGAAATGAAGCAGAAGAATAATAATGGCCATAAAAGAAATAATGGAGAGTGAAATTATGGTCAGTGTACATGTGACACTTTACATTGATGGTCAGTATAGAAGTGACCCCTTACATTGATGATCAGTGTAGGTGGAATATTAACCACTTGACCTCCGAAAAGTTTTACCCCCTTCAAGAATAGGGCAATTTTTGCTATTTAGTTCTGAGCTACACTAACTGGCAGCTGCACGGTCATGCAACACTGTACCCAAATGAAATTGATATAATTTTTTCACACAGATAGAGCTTTCTTTTGGTGGTATTTAATCACCAATGGGCTTTTATTGTTTGATATATACATTGAACATTTTGCAAAAAAAAGATATTTCTACTTTCTGTTATAAAACATATCCAATAAGAAAAAAAAAAATCAAATT